GTTCCATCTTCTTCATCTTCGGCCCAATAGCCAAATGTACCATCGAGTTCTCCTTCGTCTAGTACGAGAAATGATCTTCTACCTCCAGCACCTGTCGGCTGCATCAAAGGATTGTCTACTGAAGTCTTCGTCGTGCAGAACATCTCGATGAACACTGTCCTCAACTCTGTTGTAGTGTATTGCTGCAGGACCCTGCCACGATGAGTCATCAAAGAAGTCAAAGTGTTTCGCTGGTCCTGAGACAAATCTGCAAGTGACAGCATGAGTAAGGCAATGAGATTTTCTCCTAGAGGAAATTCATTCTGATGAAAGGTTCTCATATTGCCATTGATTGTCTGCATGATTTCCTGAATCCTTTCTGCCGTTGGTGCTACTCCAGTCAACGCTGCATCTGCCTGCATCTGAGCTAGGACTTGTGGATGTGCTTGAGTGACTGGTTCTAACATGTCCATCCAACTGCTCATAAGCCTTTGGAGTAAAATCTGGAATCTTGTCATCCATTTCATCATGTCAGCTGATCCTCGATTGAAGCGCACAAATTGCATAAATCTATACAGGAATACATTGGTTGATCCTTTCACGAAATATGGTCGTAGTACTCGTTTGAAATATTCTACGCCGGCTCCTGGTGGATCATTTGCCTTCAATGCATCTCTGTCTAAAACACGCTTGTATACAGCTGCTTCTCCTTCTAATCTGTTTCTCAATGCTGGTCCTCTCTTCTCATCTTCCAGCTCGGTGATATCACACCAATCGTCTATGGCATCCTCATAGGAAAACCATGAAGTCTTTCCATCATAAGATGGGGGCACCTTTGTAGTGACCTGTGTTGTCATAGCTATCGCTGCTGGTTCTCTTCTCACATGCCTATTCACATAGGCTGCTGGCTCATAAGCCACATCCGCATCAGGCTCTTCCCAGTCGTCTATCCAATCCATGGCTGTTTGCCCACTAGCAAGTCTATGCCTAGGAAAGGAGCTCACCTGGGTCTTCCAGGATCACTGCTCCGCTACCACTGAAAGAGTGACTAGGGCGTACACGGTAGAGGTGCAGACCGCTAGTGTCTTTTATGCGCAGAGTCTTATCCTCTTGCTCTTTGAGCCTTGAAGCAGTCAAGCATGGACACACTATATCGGCTGTTGGAGTGGAACCCTGTACAGGTAGGCTCTACTTTTCAGGGGGGGGGTCGAATCAAATGATTTATCAATCATTCATCACATGGGAGGGGGGGGGTGGGGGTGTTAGACATTGATCTACCAATCTTTAGTCCCGAGCAAGCTCTCAAGCCAGTCCCTTTGCTTCGCAAAGCAAACTCAAGGTAGTCCTTACCAGGCTACCTTTCGTGATATTGTATGCCTACATTGACCCCTTAAACCACCCCTGGCCTGATCGATATGCCAGTCCCAAACAGGTCGTGTCAGGGATAGAGTTCTTCATGCTCATGTCAACCACCCACCTACATCCTCTCGGGCGCCCGAAAACAGTGCCCGAACAAACGGGCGCGAAAACGTCTATCTCACCCTGTGGAATTGGCGGTCCCACCGTTCTGACAGGAACTAAGCTAAGGTCAAACATACCACAAAAAACCGCTTCTGCAACCAAGGTCAAACATATGTACACTCCCAAGAATGAATATGGAAGTGGAAAGTAGCAACTTAGTGACCACTTTCCTCTACAAACAGGAGGTTTTAAACTTCCATGTTAGCTCTAGGCAGAGTAATACCTTGACGTATCATGGTCTTCATCTCTCAGTCTGGTCGTTGGTGGCTAAGAAGGTGCCTTTTTTCGCCTCGGCCATCTCCTTGAGTTTGCACGGGGCTGCCTTTTAAGTCCAAGTTGCTCTTGCTGTGGCCTGCCCAGCCTGCCGGGCTATGTGTGCGATGGATGTACCCAAAAAGGACTGGTGGGGAAAAGCAAAACATCAAGGAACTCAATCATTCGGACTGGTTTGATCCCATTTTGCAGGAGCATTCTGAGGTTGGAGGGAACAATTCATATCAATTAACACATAAGAAGCAAAGCAAACCAATGGCTTGCAGACCAGGACATTTGCTGCTTTCTCTGTTTCTCTTCTTCATCCTCATCTTTGGCAACAGGAAAAGTGAAGGACACCCGTGGAGCAAAGCCAAGGAGAAAGGTCGAATGTTCGGCAAGTCAGGTCAGCATACAAGTCTTTCCAAGTAAAGTTTGTAAATGTATATCTGTACAACTGTATAAAATATAAGTAACTAATATGTTTGTAACTAATGTATAATAGAATGTATGTATATCTGTACAACTGTATATCTCTATATATATACATACATTCTATTATATAGATTCACGAGTAGCCGTAGCCTCTCTATGTTCTATTGTTCTTTTGGTCTTCCAATGGACTCTCAAACTCGCCCTTTTTCTGTTTCACAAACACATGTTTTGCGATTGTCAAGTCCCCTGATGTGCCAAGGGAAAAACCAAGGTATGAACATGTCAAGGTAACAACAATGATGGTATAAAACAAAACAATACTTTAAGAACATCTCTATTGTTCCCCTGATGTGCCCGCATCAGGGCGGTGAAACTAAGCTTCAAAGCCAGTTTCCAAGCAGGATTGACTGCTTTCCTTGAGAGTATGGTCAAACGTCGGCCGTTACGGTTGTCAAACCAGTAGAACCTCTGGTTGGTCAGCATGCTTTCGGTGTGTCCACACGAGATCAAACCCAGCGGGTCTGAGTTTCCCCGACTGCGGTCGACCTTGGCCCACTGGCAGCTCCTGAGGAAGGACAGTCACCAGGTGGAAGTTGACCTAGTTCTGGTCCTAGTAGGACAGTTGACCTAGTCACCTAGTTCTGGTCAACTTCAGGAGTTGTCACCAGGTGGAAGTTGACCTTCATTCACCTAGTTCTTCAAAGTGACCAAACGTCTTCACCCCTGGTTGCTTCGGTCACCAAGGTTCGGCCGAACGAAACATGTGGATGGCACTCCAAAGTTCGGTCACGACTGAAGACACTGGTAAGCCTGGTAAGCTGGTATACTGGTATATTATACAATATGTATAACATTGTAAAACATTGTACAACTGTATATCATCCAAACACTGCTGGCACGGACAAGGCCATGTAAGGGCTCCAGAAGTTGGCATTGGCTTTTGATTGAGATCTTTTCAACCGGCCAGTCAGCTCTGAATGTTCTCCACTAAATCAAGCGGCGGTCCAATCATTTGGCATGTGTTTGTCGTCTGGAGCTGCTGGAGGCGGCCAAAGTGGGCGACCCAATTTGCAGTCGGAAAAGAGCAAGCAGCTCACATGATTGCGTGCTTGGTTGGGTGATTGATTAATTGATTGATTGACTGATTGATTGGTTGATTGCTTAGTTATTTGGTTGGTCAACCGGTTCATTCATGAAGAGGCCACACGGCCAAGAGCATCATCTCTCTTGGTGTTTTTTTGTTTTTTCAGAAACATGAGGGTAAACCGAAGAGGGTGAACAGCAACTCTTTTCCGACAGTCAAACAAAGTCTGCCGGTACATACTGGGCACTTGCTACTAGAGACATGAACAGTGCGGTAGCAAAAGCAGTGCCATCAAATAACACTGGGCTTCAGTCGTCGTTGGAAACACACCTCTCACCCATCCTATCATTCAAGGAACTACAAGACCTAGAGCAGGCGCGCCGACCTTTTGCAAGATGAAGGGACAAGCCATCCATGCAGGACTCAGCCAACAGGCTTCCCTTCTCCCCTCCCTCTTCCTTAGCTGCTCCGCAGCTCAGGGTGGGCGGGGGGGAAAAGCTGTGTGGCACAGCACCAAACTTTAAACCAGGGAGCAGCTGCTCCTGTTACCAGCAAGCTGTCCAAACTGACAAGGTACACATTAATGCTAGGTGGGAGAGAGGGTTGGTGTTCCTGCCTACCCCGACCAACCGCGAACACCGGTACAAGGCAGCTTGCAAAGTCATTTATTGGATGAGCTTAACATTCTACCCGCTTAAGGAAGTGTGTGTGAAATCTCGACTAGACCCCCACACCCTCTACTGGGCCCGCAAAGGGTGGGGGGAGGGTGGGGGGTGGGGGCAAAAAGGCGATCGCCAATCTTCAGCCAAGATGGCATCAAGATTAGGGGTCAAACACCTAAATGTGTCAAATCCAAAAACATGTCCCTTTCCAACCATCCGTTCTGTCTTCAACTTGGGAGATGTTTCACAAAACCAAGTGCTTGGATTGGCCCGCGATTCTCGGAGGGCCAAGCAGGAGATTCAATCCATCAAGAGAGATCGGTGTGGAGGGCCCGGCATCAGTACAGCAAGTTTCTCTCGTCCAGGTGAAGTGGGGGACTGGCCTGACTTGGTGGGCCTCAAGCCCTTCACATGTCTGGGAGCCGGGGCAGTCCCAATCTGTTCTATTGATTATACCATATTATACCCTGTCCACAGGATCCTGAAACATCAAGGCAATATATACCGTATGCATGTTATATATATATATATATTATATGTGTAAGCCTAGTCACTCTGGCTAACCCTCTGTAATGCGGTTTGCCAGACAGGAACAGGGAGTCCTTTCATGTCGATGTTCATCAACTCAAATCAATGGAGTTTTGACAACCCTTCACAGCTTTTGGCATCTTGCTACAACAAAACAAGCACTCCTGAAGCATGGCATCAGGCTGCATCGCGGACATCGCCTGAGCCTGCAACGCCGATGCCTGCAAAGCTTGCTGCTGCATTGATTGTTGCTGCAGCAAGAGCTGCTGCATGGCCTGTTGCATTGCCTGTTGCTGCATGGCTTGCTGTTGCATTGCTTGCTGCTGCAAAGCTTGTTGCTGCATGGCTTGCTGCTGCAAAGCTTGTTGCTGCATAGCCTGTTGCTGCAAGGCTTGCTGTTGTAAGACCTGTTGCTGCAGTTGTTGCTTTTGCTGCTGCTGTTGTTGTTGCTGCTGTTGTTGTTGTTGCTGTTGTTGCTGCTGCTGCTGTTGTTGCTGGGGTTGCATCTGTTGGGTTTGTTGAGGCTGCTGCGGCGACTGCTGTTGCTGCGGCCTTAGTGCAGTTCACCCAGGAGGGAACTAAAAACCAGGACAAGCAATTGCAAGATCTTGCAATAAGTTGCACAGCCTCCTTCTTTGGCGCCTCTACATTGGACCTAAACTAAAGGTGAATATGGACATCCCTGGCACCAAAGTCGCTCCCGAACCACCGGCTAGTCAGGGCATTTTTGGATTCTCCAGGTGCCAAGAGTGCGGCTTGGCCAGCGTTTCGCATCATTTGGGGAGCTTTTCGGCGGCTCAAAGAAATTGACACCCAAAGGCCCAAAGACATAGAGATAGACCCCCAAATAGATAGACAAGTAGATGCCCACTAAATATGTATGGGAAACCATGCCACAGGCTATTGGGGATCACTATACATGCTCTGTTCGATCCATGTCCAGCTGTAGCATGCTAGAGAGCAGCCGCAGCCTTCCTGCCGCAGAAAACATCGCGTGACCCCACATCGATCGAAAAGGATTTCTTCGCCTAAAACTACAAGACAGACCTTACTGACATCAATTCCCAAATTGTGGTTGTTGGGTTATTGTATGATAGTATAAGAAGGTTGGCCACAAATGGCCGGATTTGAGGATTTGATGTCTCGGAGATCCTGCAGGAGGTGTAGGTCCTGTAGATTGATCCTTTCCCTAGCCTTTAAAGACCATTGTATTATAAGATAACAACGACCTGGTTTTATAGTCTAAAACCCTGAGTAAAACAATGGTTGTTTGATGTTGTTTGGTAGACATGTAAAGACCATTAAAACATATCAAACAATATAAATATGTTTGAATCCCAGGGTTTCTATCTCTTGGGGGAGAACAAGTCTCCCACTCTCCTTGAGGGGATCGTACTGCCTTTTTCTTCGACGACTGGAGGATTCCAACGACCAACCTGGGAAGATTTGAAGCCTCTAAAATAGATCTCAAGATGTTTCTTTGGCCAAGCGTGTCCAAGCCAATCAATTCCTGAATCATGTCTCTTTGCAAGAAATCGGAGTCCACTGGTCCATCCATCTCCCTCCTCTTTCCACTGGTCCTGCCTAATGCTCCCAAGTGACCTCCAAGCAGACTGGGCAGACTGAGCCTGGCATCTGAGATTCAATCAGCATCTTTTCAGCACCGGCTTGGTCGGTGAAAAGCACCGGTTTGGCCGGTGAACACAGATTGTTCACACAGTCTTGATCAGGTCAGGGGTCCATTCTGTCTGGAACTGGAGATGGGCCTCCCCCTTAAGGATAGCATGGCCTCGACTACTAGCGATGGCCTCCAACCTACTAGCTGCTAGACACGACCCATGGGACTGCCATAGGACTGCTGCCCCATCGACCCCGCTGGCACCACCCCGACTGATCGGCAGTCCTATGGCCGTCCCAGACAGGTCGTGTCTGGGGCTGCTAGTTATTGTTCATCCGTTTGTTCCATCGAGTCGTTGGCCTAATAGTAACAATAAGCTAGTAGAAACAAGTGCCTCGCTAGTAGTAACAGGTGCCTTACTAGTAGTAACAAGAAGCTATTAATTTCTATGGAGTCGTCTGGCCCCGCTGCGGGCGGCTGCAGCGGACTGGACTGGACTGCTTCGGGTCGGTGGCCATCCGTGCGAGTGGCCATCGTGCGCGGGGCCACCGCGGGGTGGGGGGCGAAAGAGGAACTTCAGAGGCCAACAACCAAACGGCATATGGGATTGGATCAAACCCCCGGATTCCTGGTGGACCAAAGAATGATCTTTAAGCAGTCCTTGGTGGTTGGTTCCTCTTTGCCTCCTAGCTCGTTTTCGTCCCTCTTCCAGCCACCGGACTCCTCAGACCGGACTCCTTTCACGGCCCGACCTGCCCCTCTAAGACGGCTGCTCGAGCCGCCAGGGGCGCCTGAAATGCCAAGCGGGCTGAGGTGGCTGGAGATCGCATGGGGCAAGGCAGTTTGGAGCTTGGCCAATGAGGTTCCACCTTCATGTTCAATGGGTAGCTAGAGATTACAGAATTTCCAGAATAGTGGACATGGAGTTGATATTGGGAATCTGCAGAATCCCTTTCCATTACGATCTGATCTGTCTGCCGATCCACTGGTGAACCTGGTCGATCATGACCTCAGCTCTGCAACCATCGAACTACCCCTCGACCAGGGTAGAGCGACCAACTCCATGGCGAAGCAGGCGAAGCGAAGCATCTAGTACCGGTTGCTGGTAAGCGGTATGTTTTGCTTTTTCATGTGTCCGAATAGGCTCCAATAGGGGCTGGCATTGGGTCAAGTTCGTGTACTCTCTCCGAACTGGCCCATTGGCTCTTCAATGCTGCTTGCAATCTGCTCATCACCAGCTTGTCACCACCCCACGGTATGGCAGGAATCGGGGCAAAAAGAAACTTTACCGGAAAACCGCAAACCCTGGCACTTCTTCACCTCCAACTTGTGCACTTCTTCGCCTGCGAGGGATCTGCCATGGCACCACGGTAGTCTGTCGGAGCCTGGGCGAGGCGAGAAAGTCTTTTGGGAAACAGAATTCCTAATTGCAGGGGTGGGGTGGAACTGACAGCAACTGACACGGAGACACTGAAAGTGGAGCATTGCACTCTATTTGCATACCATTGTTGTTTTCCTTTTTGGAGGATTGTAGATTTGCACTGTCTGGGCAGTAGAACCCAGGCAAAAATAAACATTTTGTCTTATAATGTCAACACCGGATTAATCAACGGGCCCCCCTCAAGGTCAACAAGATCAGCAAGGTTTGAGATCCCCTTAATAAAGGTGATGACCTGATGATGGATGATGGTTGATATGATTCTGTGTGAACACTGAGGCCTGTGAGAGGGGTACCCTTTGTGAGCTAGAAAACGTGAAGACTTTGATAGAGCTTTAATGAGGGAACATGAAAAACCAATTGCTAGAGAGGTTTTTAGGGACCAAAAGATCTGGATACTAGCCAGAAAGAAGAAAAACTAATATATTAAAGACTTATATCATAGTTAAACTATATGTTTTACTTTTCTGGGGCAGCTGGGATTGATGAATAGGGGGAGGTTTCTGGTAGAGAATAACACATATTAGGGGCATGTACGTGTGGAATTCAGGTTTTAAATCAGTTTAGTATTGGGGGCTCGAGCTGGGATTAATTAATAGGCGGTGGTTACTTAATCCTGTGTCAACATTATATATTATCTATATATACTACCGACCGGTGACTTAGGACTTGTGTGGGCCAGTGACATAGTAGTTGTGGCCCACTACTCATAAGCCTTTGGGAACACAAAAATTGCAGAGTTGCTGATTCAAGCCTCATGACTTTGTCACTAGTCGAGAGTATATGTGTGTCGTTTAAGCTTGTGAAGTCGGTCCCTGCAACAAACACCATCTGCCAGCACCCTCACTGCTAGGTCTTTAGTTGAGGGGCCCAGGAAGGGCTCGAATACAGACCTGCTTATCGTCGGGTTCTGGTGGACCTATTGTTCTTGGGAGAAGTTGGAGAACTCTCCAACTAACCCCACTCACGTTCCATGGACCTTCTGTTGGCACCCCCTGTTTGTAGAGGGGTCTTCCCGAAAACCAAACTGTTCCACTTACTAGGCCAAGTGGGTCAGATTGCAAGTGTCTGCACTTCTTTCTCGTACCCAGGTGTTTTCCAGGTGTTTAGACTTTCAGATCCCGCTTTCTCAAACCTTGACAAAAACCTTTCTCAGACCTTCCTGAAATCCTGAAGCTGTCAAATTCCATGAGCATCGAGGGGTGAAGTCCACATCCTGCAACATCCTGCTGTCAGTCTGGATGTCCAAGAGTTTTGAACCTTTTCAGATCATATTACATCTTGCGTGAGACGGGTCAGTCTGATGTCCATTTGCGTGAGGCCCCTTTGTAAAGCCTTTCAGTTTTGTTGCTCGGGTCTTTTCAGATCTTCCTGAGAGAAAAAGCGCATCAATGTTGCTTTAAGAAAGTGGACGTCAGTTGGAAATTGGGAGGGACACGTATCCAAGATTCCATTGACCCAATCTTCTCAGTCTCAGCTTCATCCATCAATCGACTCCGGCCAATCAAACCATGTGCCACCGAAAAAGAGCTTGCTTGGAGTCCGGACTGCTTGGAAGCCCGCAATAAATCCTGCGTGGAACATCTTTGACCCAGCAAATCCCAGCAAACAATTGATTATTAAACCCCACTGCCATGGCAATGAGATAGAGATAGATCCTCTTCGTCAGAAGGACGCAAATACATAGATGGAAAAATGTACAAAACATTACAAAACTATCTTATTGGGCCCAGGTCGGTCTTCCTATCAAACAAAAGCAGCACCCAAATTATTGTGGAATATTGTGGCTCAAAGAAGCACAACCATTAGGCGAGGACATGCACCTGACTGGGTCATGCACTCGCAGGCAATTCGAGTGGGATTCCTCAAGGAATTGGCCTAGGAACGGATCATCAAACCCCAGACCTAGGTTTCAAGTGGTTTCAACATGTAACCCGAAATCGAAATAGGGTCAATGTACTGTATAGACTCTTCCAATCCGGACCGGCCCGACCATGTTCGACCCCCTCAAGACTCGGCTGGCTCATCTTGGCTCCATTTCCACCGCTGATTTGTAAGTAGGCTTTGCCATGAGCTTTGGTCGTGCTTTACAAAAATGTCACCAGGGTGGATGGCTGCATGCTCTTTGGCATGTCTTTTGGCATGCTTTACCGAGATCGTCGCTTCGCTGCCAACGGGGTCGCATTCAGTCCTTGGAGCTGCCCTTTGCCCTTCCCCCTGGCCGTAGCGCGCGCGGTGCGCAGTACGCGTGAAGGGAAGGGAAAGGAGGCGAGACGAGTAAATCCATGCAGGGGGGTTTTCTTCTTTTTTTGGGGGGGTGGATGTGTTTGGATGTGTGTTTGGGGTGGAATAGCTAAGAAACATCGAGTGCTTCTCAAATATGGGTATATCTCATTCCCTATAACAGTGGATGATGGTTGGGTTCCTTTTCTCATCCTTTCTCAAAAGGTGATGTTCTGGTTTACCGACTGTTACAGGTAATGGGACACCCCCAACAAGTTCGACCTCTCCAAAGGATTCACTTTTCGATCTCGTTTGCGGCGAGGTCTATGGACCGTGCCAACTATATGATCCGACCGTGGTCCAGTGAACAAACACCCAAAGTCAGAGTGCCAATCTTCTGCCATGTGCCAATTTTCTCATGTGATTCTTTTGGGCCAATTAGAATGACAATTCCCTAGGGCTCCAACCACCTCCTGAGAAGGTGGTTGGGGTGGATTTGGGGGGTCTAACCACCTGAGAATATGGTTGGAGCCCCAGGGATTGTTACTTTTTGTGTTTGATGGTCATTTGGTCTCACACCAACCAATGCTCGCAAGGCCTCGCCTGTCATGTGCTTTCTCTCTCGATGTTCTTCCAACTGCGACACATGTCTGCCTATTTTTCATCCAAAACGGCCAAGTGAGGCAGAACATGGCAGAACCCCAAAACAGCCCTGAAACAGGCCGACATTGGGCATTCCAATAGTTGGAAGATCCAGCGACCCATTGGCTGGTCTTTGACCTGCCCGTTTCTGGGCACTGGTCTTTTTGAGCGACGTGCACGGTTGGGCGTTGGGCGGCCCAGGGGCTGTTGAAACCTGTCCAGTCAGAGGTGGAATTGGTGGCTGGTCCTCTACAGTGCTCCACACTGACTGGACGAACAAACAGATGTGTGGACCCCGCCCAAAAAAACACCCCGCCCAATGGGTCATCAAATGGTATATACCAGCAGTCCCAAAGGGGTGCTATCCATGGAGGAAGTCGGGGTGCCCAGAACATCCACTCACTTAGGCACTAAACACCACCCCTTTGTGACTGCCGGTATTTATATAAATATGCATAAATGTGTCACACATGGAGTTTTCTGGGATAGATCTTGAGTCTTCCCCTTTGCCATTTTAAGACATGTTAAGCCACCTGACATCAAAGACAAAACAACCAACTCAACCTCTCAGGAATCTCTCAAGCTTGCCAGGGTGGACTTCATGGCGTAGCCGAATCTTGGATAGATGGCGCGGCTGTAAGCAGGATCCTTGAGATCATTGATCCGCTCCTGTGATATCGGAGGCTTTGTCGTCTGTGGAGGCGCATGGTGCGTGGTTTCGGGTTTCGTGCGCGGCGCGTGGCTTCATGCGTGGTTTCCTGCTCGGTCCACGAGAGGTTCACGAAGGAAATGGGCGTGGGATTGGACAAACCAGTAAGGGAGACATAAATAGGGAGACCGCAGAGTCTGCATCATCTAAGATACACACCCCAATGGTCATTGCGGTCTCCCCATTGAGTCTCCAGCTTGACCCTGCATCATCTAAGATACACACCCCGATGTTTTTCAGCATCGACTGAGTCGCATCGAGGGAGGCCAAACCGCCCCGCGCCGGGTCAGGACGACACGATCGGAGGGCCGTCTCCATCGGTTTTTCGGCCCATCCAACAGAGGTGGGTCAGAACCGTAAATAGGACCCGGAACACCTGGGGGACCCTACTGGGATAGCCGAACTCGGGTTCTGACCCACCTCTGTTGGATGTTCCTATAGGGACTCATCTGCCCATGGCCGCAACCCAAGAGATCGGACTCTCCGAAGAGACCTGGAAAAGGCCCAGATCGAATCCACTGAACGACCCCTTGAAGGCAATATACATACATCCCTAAGGATCATTGGACCCGACCACTTCTGGAGGGTTTTGACCCTGCATAGCAGGGGTTTGGACCCTCAAACCTTCACCTTTGAGGGTCCTTGATTCTTAGGGATACTTCTATACTGGAATACGATACAAGAATGACGTAAAATAAGTCTAACGACCTCTAGCGACGTCTAAAGGGGAATCACTGGTCAATCTCTTGGGGGAGGCACTCAAAACTCCATCTCAGGGACTTTCCTGATTGAAAGGCCAACTCCTCAGGCGTTGCATCTCCTTGTACTGGATACTCTGACATACTCCCTTTTTGGTGCTTTTATGCAGGGACATCCCCATCCCATCCATTGCACCATGCTCTTTCCCTACATATGGATCCACATACCTTCTGAGAAGCTGATTGGAGACTATTTGTGTAGGCGCCAGGAGGTTCCAGTACCTTCTGAGAAAGTACGAACCGCCACCAGGACCGCGGCGCCGATAGCTCGCACGCTTCTTACGCGGAGCACGCGGCTCCTGCGCCAGCTTCATCTCCAAAGCCACGCGACGCTGGACCGTCTGTGGATCCTGCAGACAAACACGGAGAGGCGAGGTGGAGGGAGCTTGACAGCGAAACTGAATGACATTTGATGAAAATTGTAGAGTTTCATCATAAACCATGATGAATCTTGGAGGCGTTTGGCAAATTTTTGGGGCCGACGTCCAATCTCTCGGCTCCATCGTTCCTTTTCAAGCCCCAAGCCCTTCGGAACAGCCGCCTCCGGCGCAGCAGCCTCTTCCAGATTTGCCACCTGTTGAGGGAGGGTTTCAGGGTGGTACACCCGGGGGCCACTGGTGCCCTAGATCCCAACTCACGCGGCACCAACTCACATAGAAACTAGGGGGAAACCATTCGAGTGGTCTTATAAATATAAATTATATACAATATACCAGGGCCCCCCCGGTGCCAGGGGTGGTTGATAGACCCCCATGTTCACCTCTAAGGAGTTGGACACCCCTGGCCCGGAGGCCTTGGCACAAAAAAACCTTCCGGTCCGATGATGGATCACGAACTAAGTAAACTGGATGACCTGGAAGGTCTGTGGGTCCGGCGCCTTGGGCGATGCGTGACACCCTCTCAGGTGTTTTCTGGACACCGAATTCGTCACAGTCGTCACGAGCGCGGCACAAACAATGGGTCCATGCAGCCACAAAGTGGAGACAGACCTGGAAAGCCAGTCCCAACCTGGTTGTTCCAAGATGTTCCAATATTGTTCCAATATATGTGGCAATTGAGACCCTTCACATCGCTAGAGTAAGAGGTTGGGACTGGGGAATGGTTGGGACATGTTGGGAACTGGGTTTCCAACCAAGTTCCGTGAGAATTCCTCTTTATGGAGGCCGGTCCTTTTCACCCTAGTTGTGAGGGTCAAAAGCGTAGCTGCAAGGGTCCAATGAGCCGAGCTGGGCAGTGGTGAATTGGGGTCAACAATCGGTGGGCTTCCAAAGTCCCCGAGCCAACTGGGCACTGTAATGAGCTGCCTACCGAACCCCTTCTGCCTCAGCTGAGTATCTCGAACAACAACGAATGTCGGTACCAGGGCCATCCAAAGCCCCCGTTGACTCGGGGTGTCTAATCATAGCCTCTTAAAGATCAAGGGGTGTCCATGGGTCTCCATTCGCCATGCCAAAAGAAGAGGCCCCAGGAACGGAGGTTCCCCCGAACGGTGGGGCCCGCTGTCGATCTCATTCAGCCACCAAGGGTGGACGCCGTCCAGGACGGGGGAAAACCCGGTCTTTGTTGCGAACCGAAACGCGCCCCAGGCGCCACCACCTCGCTGGCCGGCCTCTGCTTCGGGCACCTTGGCTCCCTCTCCAAAGATACGAGCACGTGCCTGGCGCCGGGTTTCGGACCGATCTGCGCGCCTTATCCGTCGACGGACCCTGGGGTGTTCGGCATCGTGTTCGCTGTGCGCACTGACCAGATGACCCTAGAGCTAGCCTTCAAAGACCATCAAAAGAATGATTGACATGGTTTTCTACAATCATATAGTAAAATAATGTAAAATAATGGTTGCTCGATAAAATCTCAGGGATCAGGTTGACTCCCCCCCTCGTCCTCCCAAACCCCAGCCTCCATGTAGTAGCGCTCTCGTTGCTCCAGTGGCAACCTGCTGACTGCACTGATCGCCATTTGTTATATTTGTTGGGGTTCTTGTTTGCGATAGCCAGACTCCGCAAATCCTAAGAGAGGTGATTTTCAGTGAGCTGGAAAAGGACCCATCACAACCAGGGAACCCGGAACGCCTGGGATAGATCGAAGGGCGTCGGTCTCTTCAACCCACCTCTGTTGGCTTCGCCTTTTTGCGCATCTGTCGAGGCAGCCACAGCTCGCTGACACTCTGGTCGCAACGGCGTGAAACAACGAATTACGCACCAAATGAAAGCCTTGAGGTCAAAACCAATCCCGCCGAATACAAAGATGAAGACCAATTATCCCCAGAACAACGATGAAAGGTGATCCACGGTTTCCTGATATATATACGGATGGATCATGATGGATCATGTTCTGGGTGTATCACACTGCAAGGGCCCTCCTCAGGTTCCTTTTTTCGGTCCAACAAACACCCCATGAACGCCAATCGCTCCTTCCAAGACGGGGTCTTCGTCCAATCGTCCAACAAACCCACGGGCGGCCGCCTGGAAGGGTCAATCTTGCTAGCGACCTCGGACTCATCTCCACTGCTCTTCACGATCTCCTCGCCATCAGCCTGGCGACATTCGCTCTCTGCGCGCGCGGCGCGCCGTCAGCGCGCAGGCGACTCTGGGATCGGAAGAAAAGCTCCGAGAGTTTCTCAGAGTTTTAACCGGAACTGCCTATGTTCTTTTTTTTAATGATCTATCTTGTTGTATCATCCACTTCAAAATTGAAACTGTTGGCATTTTTAAAGCCATGATCAAAAAGAATGTCCAAGCTTATCAAAACCTCTGAACCTCGCCATCTGCAACACTTCCGGTCCACATCGGTGAAACCGCTCGTAGGTGGATTCCAGGCCTCTTCAGTCTGAAGACAACCCGAGAGCCATTGACGAAACCCAGCACTGGCCCACTACACCCTCAAAGGACTTGATGGGTATGTGACATCATCTGATGGGCCGCCGACCTGCACCCGACTGGAAAAAGCTCTCCGATGGATGGAGACTTCAGATTGGCAGGTGGCAGGTGGTGACCTGGCAGAAACCTCGGGTGCTGATAGAATGATCCTGTGTTTCAGCCAATTCCACCACCACCCAATGCTAGGCAAGCGAATGCGGCGATGCTTTGCGTGCTTCTCGCGTGGATCATCTCAACTCGTAGGTCGACTCTGCACAGCGGTCATGACCCGCATGACCCGTATAGCTTGACGGTTCTTCATCGTATTTCATCCCTCTCAACAGGTGCTCTTTTCACCATCTGTTACCAATCCACACCATGCACCAAGCCACAAAGCCGAGACCCACCAACTCTTTCTCCACCCCACACCGCCTGCTGCCGCTGCATCACCTGCCGAACTCCGATTCATCATCAGGGGTATGCCCCCTGTACAATCAGTGGCCCGAACGCATCAAACATAGAGGTGTTCACACACATGGCAGCCATGTTGTTTTTGCTAGGGAAAACCAGGTGTTTGGATGGTTGCTGGCAGCCCTGGAACACTATAGAAACCAACTGGCCCGGCTCGGCTCGGCTCACAACCAGGAGTTCAGAGTGCATGGAGCTTGGGGTGAGCCGCCGATCCGCGACGGCCGCCGGTGCCCTAAGCAAGCGGTTCGCCCTGCTGTTGGGTCCCCAGTTCGATGTGCCGGTCGCACAGTCAAGCACGTTTTTATTACTTATAAAGATATTTGTACGGATGCACGACATTCTTCGGGCCACACAACACATATCAAAACATGTTTCACCACTTCAAAAAATAACATCCCGAGATTCAAAAGACCGCGACCCCCTTCGTCGAGAATCCTTGTGGGATCCACGATGAGTTGGACGAGATATTGATGAGATGCTGGGCACTGGGCACCTGCAAATTGCGATTGGAATTTGATAAGTAAATCCCAATGGCTTGAAGTTGGCTTCAAGGGTAAAACTGACATGGAGTGTCTGTGTTTCTTTTCGCTGCCCGTTCTTTTCGCTGCGTGCTCTCACCCCATCTCACCCGATCCCCAAGACAGGTAGCCAGTGGCCGTAAATAGGACTGGGGTATCCCGGTCCGCCTGGCATAGTCGAAGGGCGTCGGGTGACCTGACCCACCGAACAGTTGAGGCCTTGCCACCCGCCGCAGCGGGCGGGTGGCCCATCCGACTGGATCGACGCTGACCTTGATCTTTCCAGTGGCAAAGCTCGGCTGCAAGGGTGGTCGTGAGACCAACCTCACCGCTCAGAGCGGAGCGGAAACCGTGCCGCACCGGGCGGGTCGGTTTCGCGCGGTGGTTCGTTGAAGAAGAACGAGCTCGAAGAGAGGGCGATTCCTAAGGGTTTGGGATGGTTTTTGCATGATGAGAAGTAGGTCATGATGAGAAGTGGTGTGATATCTACACATCATTACACATCTACCAATAGGTACTATAGGTCGGTTTGGATGGCCAATCTGGGATCCGAACCCCGACAGGAAGGGGATGGGAGGGCGGCCGGAAGGTCAGGGATGGTCGACCACGAAGGACCCCCGTTTGGGGTGTTGTATGAACCCCGTTTGGGGCGGTTCATAGATACCTCTTACCACCAATTGGCACCCCTCAACGGGTCTTCTGGTAGGAGTGACCCTCCAAATATGGTGGACCATAATGGCCCTTGTCTGTGACATGTAGACGTGTTTCAGGGAGCCATGCCATCTTCTTGCATGAGGACGTTGGAGGGAGGATAACAAGGAGATCAAAACAGGGGTTATTGCCAGTTGTTCAAAGGACTGATCCTGCCCAAAAGCTTGTAACCGCGTGGAGGAGGCCATGGAGTGTCATGGGCGACATGCTTTTCCATGAACCCCCTCCCTTTGTCTTCGCAAGCAAATGGCAGAAACAGGTTTGGGATGCTTCAAGGTCGTTGTCCAAATCCTTGATCTTCCTCGCGGTGTGTCCTGCGAAGAGCCCAGGACCTCTCAGACTCCGACTCATCCTCGCTCGCTTCGTCCTCCGCTTCATCGTCGCTGAGCGTGGCATCCTCCTCCTGAGACGGGACCCGATCTGGACGGGCTCCATCAGGTCGGAAGGGTGGCTGCGTTGAACCAAGCAGGGCGATGAACTCACCGCAGTGTAGGCCCCCTTGTTGGTTCAACGGCGATCGCGACGCACGGACGTTCAGAACCGATGCTGCGGAGGTTGGTTAGAGAGTCGACTTATGTCTGCATACTGCAAATGACTGCAACAGGGCTTTCTTTGGACATCCCCACCCCTCCAGCCCAGTCTGAGTCCTCCTGAAGATCTGTTGGACTGACCTTGCGAAGCAAACCCTGAAGATCTGCACATGATGAAAGCATGTCTAAAAAATAGCGAACTCTCCGTGGTGGCCTATTCTGGGTTTTTGTATGGCTTTGCATGACTATGACAATAATATAAGTTAAGTACTAAGTTAAGTTATACTGGATATACTGTAGTTATACTCTGACTCACCTGACCCCTCTTTGCAAAGGAAGTCTTCCTTTTGACCATGTTTCATTTTCATGAGTTAGTGAGTCAGGACGGTCAGGGTGTATACCCATTGACTTCTCCTGGATGAGGGACCTGGCCCTCACCGTAGTAGGAAAGCGATCAGCATGCACAGTTTTGGTTCACAGTTCACACTGTTCACATTCATTCCAACAGTCAGGGTATATGTCAGGGTTGCTTGCTTGCTTGGGATGAAGGCAAAAAAAGGATGAAGATATTGAAATCTCGAAAAGGTTAAGGCTTAGTTTCCAGTGCTTCTCGAGTTGCCAGTGTCCCAACATGTTCCAAAGGCTTACCTGATCAGTCTAACTCGACCTCCCAGGTCAAATCGTATAGACTCGCCATGAGTTTCAGGCCTTGGATCTCAAAGACATTCACCTTAGGGGGAGTTCTCTACCTTCCAAATCTCTCTCCCCCAATTCCACCTTCGAGTCGGGTGCTGGCCATGGCCTCCCCATGTCCGAACCCGAAACCGACCACCACCCACCCCGGTCGACTCGCGCTCGCGCTCGCGCTCGCGTGCGCTTGCGCTCGCGCCTCCAGCGGCGAGGAATCGGGGGAGTTGGGGCCTTCGGAGGGTGACCGAGACGGTGAAGCAAGCAGGGAAGAGCAGGGAAGAAATAGGCGGAACCCTGGTTGGGTCCCAAGACGAGAGTGGTGATCGTTCAGGAAGTTCCACGTATTACACTTCGGTGGTGCGAAAAAGTGGACTTTGGACTATTACGGTCTTGGACTAGTGGTGTTGTGTGATAATTACGGTGTTGTCTGGTCTTTGGACTTTAAGATAATACAGTAATTACCAAACAGAAAGCTGCTTAGTTGTCTGGTTTGCCAGTAAACTAGGGGATCTCCCGCTTGGTCTGATCCTTTCCCTAATTCTTCCACAACCAGCCTCTCTCACCCGGGCGGGCCCAGGTCCAATCTGACACTCGGACAGGTCCCGCCCTCACATTCCCTCACTTTGCGCACGGAAACCATGCAAAAACCATGGATGTTTGATCTTGTTTGATCATGGTTTTCTGGGTCGATCTCCAAGCTTGAATGGCACCTTAGAGTCTAGGTGGATTTAAGCCGATCGATCCATGAGGCCGAAATCACAGCCAGATGAGCAACTTAAACATGATTCATTGCGGGGTGCTTAATGGAGGAAGTCGGGGTGCCCAGAACATCCACTCACTGGATGGGACTAAAACACCACCCCGACATGTGACTGCTGGTAATGATCATGAATTCATGTCCAGGCTTTGACTCTACAACTCAACATTGCAAGGACGTTGTCTTCCGCCTTTCCCCTCGACACCACCAATAGTTTCGCCATGGATTCACCTGCAAGCCATCTACTATCCACTAGTCAGCCAACTGACCCGTCCAAGCACCCGTACCCTCATCTGGCGGCTCGCCACTAGGATCTCCTTGGTCTAGCAAAACTCTATCTACAGGAGGGCATATCCCAGGAGTGACAAGTCATGAACTGGCCTTCTTTAGCGTGCTCAAGCAGGCTGGAGCGGCTGGAGCGCAGAAATCAAACCAGGTCGTTGTGTTCCAACGGTGAAGGCTTAGGCCAGCGGAGGCCTTTGGAGGGCCAAACCTGTCCGACTCAAAACACATGTTGGACCGCTTTTTTTATGAACACCTCCAAAACACCCAACTGACGAAAAGAAAACCCTCACCTCGCCTGAAGCGTTTTCAGCAAGACATGAGACATGTTTCAGGCATGTTCCGACGTGCGCAATAGAATCTGAACGCTCCCCATGCCTCCTGTACAGTGGTATCGGGTAACCTTGGTTGACCTGCCTGGGAGGTCTTAAGCTACATGGTGTTGTTGGGGCTCCAGGTGGCACGACCCATCCCCCTCTCCGTCCAGCCGTTCACCCTCCACATGGACCGTTGAAGGATGTTGAAGGCCACCTCTGTTTCGGTGAGTGGTGAAGAAGCATCTATATATATATACATATACCATTTAGACAGATTGATATATATATATAATATATACCAAGAGTCACAAAAGTATGCTTTTTAGTCCCATCCAGTGAGTGGATAATGGGCACCCCTATCCTCCATTAGGCACCCCTTTGTGACTGGTATATATTATATATGTAGACAATGTAGACCACTCCAAGAGAGGACGTACTGACACATTTGGAAGACTCTGGTGGACCATCTCAAAAAACGGGTTGAACGGGTTTTGGAGCTGAACATCTTCGGTTCTCAGACACTGGTTGTTTCGGGATTTGAAGCATTCAATCAATGGTGGGCCTCACCAAAAAACACTTGATTGATCTTGATTGTATATTTTACAGGTTCAGAATCGATGCTCAACACCAAGTGGAACGAACATCCGCCATGACGTTGGTCTTAAAATACCATTGCTTCCATCAGCGATCAAAGCTTTCGCACATATCACACATATCTCTCAGAGATCGTGGGGATCGTGGGACACTCCATCTCCCCTCACCCAAACCTTCTTGCGTTCTTAGCCAGGGTCCTGGCCTTCAGGTTCCTGACCAACGAGCCGGCGAAAAGCGGGTGGTTAGTCACCTATAGTGACCTATAGTGACCTGAGATCTTTTCAGCATTTTTTCGGATTGATGAGTTCGGCTCGCTTCGAAGCAAAGCATGGAACCGTTTTTTTACCCAAACGCTGGACCATAGTGGACCCTCATATTATCTCATATTGAAGAAGTCTGACCCTCAGACCTAGCTAGATCTTCGTAAGAGGCACCAGGTGGATCTAGGGGAGGTGGATCTAGGGGTCCACCAGGTGGATCTAGGTATGGAGGGGTCTGGGTTTCTCAGCGATCCTTAGGTTTTGCGGCACCGGTCGAGATGATTTCGCGTCTGGGGGAAGCACATGGAAGCACCAAGACCGGCAATGGGACGCCCCGAGATGCCTTCGTACCCCGGTCCATAAGTAGAGGCTTGCTCCCCCAATGCACCCGTGATCAACCATAGACATCCAGCTACAATCCCCTACTCGTCTATGTGAGGTGCGATGGCACATTTTACAGGCTCAAGTATGGGGAATTCATATGCATAGCCTTGTTTCACCCAACCAAGAGCGTACAGTGAATTCAAGACCACATCTGCATCACCGGACGGTCGCATAACGGTGAGCGTCGCGTCTTTGGAAAGTTGGTCGCCTTCTGCCCGATGAAGATAACTGAAGAAGCCGGCCAAGCAGTCGTGAGCGGGACAGTCAGACTGAGATGCCCTTTTATTGTGGCTTCTAGATTGGAACTCTTTCCACCCTTGGCCAGAAGCTCTTATTCAATCTGGCCGGCCCCTGCTAAAGCTAGCAATCATACGCGGCGTTTTTTTCCGCGAGCCATTGGCCATTCGATTTTAGGGCGGCTGCAAGTTGGCGAACGATTTGAAGCGAAAATATAATAAGGAATCTGAACCAGTAGTCACAAAGGGGTGCCTATTGGAGGATGGGACATTACTCACTCACTTAGGGACAAATCACCACCCCTTTGTGACCCCTGGAAGCTACTACGTCTTTGCACTGCATGAAAATCTACTTGTATCGTGATCGACCTAATGCAAAGCCTCCTATATAGGTTCGCGATGTAAGAATGGATCCACAGGAAGCTTTGCATGATATAGGTCGATCACAAGCTTCTGTTCGATTGGAGGCTCGCCCTTCCGCTAGGGTTGGCTTTTCATCAACCTGTGCTTGCTGATTCTGCTGAAGTTCCTGTGCCTCCAATGGAATGTGCATCTGGGAAAGTAGCTGCACCTGCATCTGTGCACGTTGGCTCATGCATCGAATCTGCGAGTGGACAGGGGCTTGACTTTGCAAGCCAAACAAATCCCTGCAATGATCTCCATTGCGAAAACCAGATGAGCTGAAGTACTTCCACCCCATATACAGCAATTGACATCAGATTGATCAAACGTCAATCACGTCAATCAGAAAGTGTAAACAAACAAAAAACATCTATACACACATCATCACACATCTACACACAACCCTCACTCCTCACTCTTCACTCCCTGAAATTGGTAAAAGCCACTTAAGCGCCTTCAACGCCCACCTCTACTCCCTCCCGGAGGTTGCCCTCTCGCCTTTGGTGGTGGCGGCCTGAGTTGGACGGAGATCGCTCCACCCCACCCACCAACCCACCCTGAGCTAGGAAAAGAGAGAGCCCAAACGCTCATGGATCCTGGGTGTATTCCCTCAATGAATCAACCAGCGGCCACTACTTTCTGGCCACCACCAAGCCCATCTATGCAACACATCTTTCCAGCAAAACCGTGCGTCTGCTAGTTTTGTAGCGCAACATCTTTAAACAAAACAACAGTTGACCTGGTGTTGTCAAACAGTTTGGGATTCGAACCATGGAAATCCTTCGAATTCATGGTGGTCGGAATCCTAGGGTCTTTCTTCACTCCATACCTCTGCCCGACCAAGGCACATCCTCATCCCCGAACATTCACCGAACATCCGGCTCACATCCACACTGCCAGCCAACGGCCAGGAGGGGCTCTTTTATCCCCGGAAGCACGCGATACATGAGGTCGGTTCGAATCAGCAGCTTCTCGCCAGAGAAGACCTGCATCGACGCCCTCTTCGAAGAACCGACATCGACATCCTCCGCGCAATTCACGACGCACCCGGAAGACTTGGCTTCGGGAACTGCGGAACACATCTTCCCCAGAAGGGGATTCACTTAAAGTGAACATGTTAATCACCCCAAGCAAGTCATCTGGAGAGGAGGTGAATGCAAGCCATCTGTGACACTGAAAGCACTGATAACTGCTCATCCACTAGGTCACCAGAAATCCATGAAGTATCATGGGGTTATACCATGAGATCATCAGTTGTCATGAAAATCCTTTCTAACACAAAGGGATATATACAGTATATATATATATATATGCTAGCCCCCCCCCCAAAAAAAAAACACTATGTTTCTGAGTGCTGGTGTGCAGTTGGTAAGCATATTTGTTCATTTAACTATGTACTACAAAAATGTCCAAATCCATAAGGTTATGTGTTTACTAAACAGTTCTTGGATGGAGTAATCTAATTCATTGCAACTCCATGCACAACCATATGTCTTGTTTTTAGGGTGTGAATTGTAGTGCTCTTATTGAATGCAGTTGAGCAAGTACATCATAATCAGAAAGCAAAGAATTGCAAACCCTAAATAACTAAATTCCAGTTCAATTCTAATTAAACTTACACTCCAATCTATTCAACTCTACTCTATACTTTGTATATTCAAATTCAAATTTGAGTCTATTTCAATTATTTGTAAATTCTATTTTGATTCAAAGGTCTATCAATATAGATTCTAATTTACTTGGGTGCAAGCCTAACTTTAATTTGATTTCAAGCTAATTCTAACTTCATTGCTATACACGTCAGATTTAATTCCAATAGTGTATTATTTTTCAATTTAGTTTTAATTTGAGTGAACATAGTTTTTTTTTGGGGGGGGGTACCATATTAATATATATCCTTTCGCACTGTGCGTGGCACGTTCTGCTGTCCAACGGTTCGCACCTGATCCCCTGAGACAGGTCACGGTGGACTCCAAAGGTTAAGAAGCTGGCGAAAAAAACACATCCCAGTTAATTGGTTTAAGGGAATATCTACAGGAAACCTCTGTGTTTCTCGCGAAAAACTATGTTTCCTCTAAGTCTAAGTTTCCTGTAGATGTTCCCTTGAGCCATCCTTAAACCGACCAATTCAAGGATACAACATGATGCAACGTTCCCCCCCAACGCATCTCGCCCTCCTCCGCCCTCCGCTCGGCCCGGCGACAGCTTCGACTCCACCCGGCCTCCGAGCCTTCATGCAAAGGGCTGGGATGACCTGATCACGCCGCCACTGGCACACGGTGAAGAGCACGGCACACACGGTCGGCCAGTGTGACGAAAGAACCGAGCACATCGGTTTTGGGACCTCCAATTTGCCCAACAAGCAAGGGTAGTGGGGGGATAATACATCCAAAGGATAACACCCTGAATGTCTACAAAAAGAACTTTCTATGGATCTTGTTGCTGGGGTCCTCAACAAGCCAAAAAGCAAGCATCCCCAGTAAAGCAGGCTCCAAGCACTCTAAGAGGCGCACATCCAGGATGCAGTCCATGTGGAAAGACCAAAGCATCACCTGCTTTGGGCACCACCTTTAGCGCATCACGTAGCTTTCTTCGATCACACCTCACACGCGCAGCCAACGCCGCCACGCAACGCGTGGTTCGAAAGCGCGCGGTTGGCGTGCGTGAACTCGTGGTGGAGACCACTTTGATCGCATCGCAGGCGGAGACCCCAATCACGAGCTGGTTGAGTTCTACATGGAGCTGAAAAGACAACAATAGAAAACATTTGGCTGTGGGTCAAAACCATTCAAAACCAATGACCCAGGTTGACCACCGAAAATGAACAGAATAATAGACTATTATAGTAGGGAGGTCAACCTTTCAAGGATTAGGATGCGGGTTTCGACCCAAAAACATTTCAACATATTTCAACCCCTGCACCCATCTGGATGGACAAACGCATTGGGGCACATGATGGTCCATCATCAGACTTGGGCCGCTCCGCCCAAGGGTTGCATCTGAGTGGCTGTGGCGTCAGCCGCTTGTTGGAGACTGGCAGGGCCGTGTCGGGCTCAAAGAAGGTGGTCTCGCCGCCCTCAAAGGTGTCGTTGGTGTAGAGCCTGAGCGCGGAGCGTGGAGGGCCGCCTCGCGCCGACACAAGCAACCAGTCAATCAACCGAGTTCAAAGCAGTTCCCTGGACGTCCAAGAACATGTAAAACATGGTTGACCTGGTTTTGTAGTGCAAACTCACTTAGTTGGCTCGGGATTCGGCCTTGTAAAGCCAATTTATATAAAATAACGGTGGTTGGAAGCCTAGGGATGTGTTTTTCTTTTTAATTCTTCCGGTCGACATGCTTGGACCTCTGCAGGCGGTCCCCCTTCTGTGAAAGACCCTTATCTCAGACCAGTTCTCTCCCTCATCTATTGACTTTCAGCGAGCAAAAAACACATGTTTTGATGCGCCGGAAGAGCTCCAAACGACCTGAAACCACCAACAACTATCTACCAAGAGTCACAAAAGTATGCTTTTTAGTCCCTAAGTGAGTGGATAATGGGCACCCCTATCCTCCATTAGGCACCCCTTTGTGACTCCTGGTATCTCTTTTTCTCATTGAAGACTCTTCTATACCAGAGCCACGACCAGAGCCCCCGGGCCTTTAAGGGGTGCTTAATGAATACCGCGACAAACCTCTCAGGAGCTATAATTCGACACCCCGAAACCGGGGGCCATCTTATTACAGATCTCAGGTCTACAGTCTACATCCGGTGCCAGCGAGCTGCAACAAGGAATAGGCTGAAAAGCTGGAGAGCACGTTGGGCTTCTCTTCGCCTTGGAACGTGTGAGTCCAACGCGTGAAGCGACCAACCACGCGACAGCTTCGTTCGAGCGCTGATGTTCGGGCTGATGACTCGTGGTGGCGAGCGCGGTGGACACCGCGCCGGAACTTCCGCGCGCGGTGCGATTCTGGGCTGCCGGGCAAAGGCAAAAGGAGCGATCCCAGTGAGGTTGACTGAGATCCCCCGGCCTAGAGGTCGGAGTCGGGCGTGTGTGGTGTACAGGACGAGGTCTGTGTCCCGTGGTTGTCAGGGCCCCCGAAAGACCGTCTTCCGTTTGCTTCGTTGAGCCAAGAGTTCTCAGGGTTGAACGGTCTGACGCAAGTTTAAAGTAAAGGTCTAACCCAGGAGTCACAAAGGGGTGCCTAATGGAGGATAGGGGTGCCCATTATCCACTCACTGGATGGGACTAAAAAGCATACTTTTGTGACTCTTGGACTAGGTCCGAACCTGGTGGATGCAGAGTCCCCACCCAGTTCTCCGGACCTTTTCACCATGCGAACACGCGGGGGGTGGGGGGGGTCCAGAAAAACAGATGGCCTGACATGGTCTGACCAGGCTTTGAGGGAAAGGTCCCTCATGTTGAACTCTTACTGGCCATGGAGATGCAAAAAACAAGCCCTCCCATGGAAGGATGGAGGAATCATGAGGAATCCATGGGGTTCATGACAATGGTCTGAATGAATCACCCTCCCATTGAGATTCAGAACTAGGAGTTCCATCAACTTGGGTGGCTCTAGATGCTCTAGCGTGCGGGCGTTTACTGTTCAGCTTGTTCCATCTGTTCTTGTTTCAGTGGGAAAAAACGATCCCAAAACATCCAAAAAGAGATTGGGCATCGGCAGGTGGTCCACTTTTACTGGGAAGCTTCAGTCACCATCCAAGCACTTCGGTCCTTTTTTTGTGAAAGTACTGAACACGTATCATTCATGGGGAGGATCATTCATTAGACCGCCACGCGATAAATCCAAAGCAAGATCTTTCAAGGGCAAAAGTCACTCCCAGAATTTCTGTGGATTGGAGTTCATTGGGGCTTGCTTGGAATTTCGTGAGCACTAGGGGTAGGGACTGGGCCCCCAAAACCTAGCATCTGTGATCTCTATTGAACGACTCTGAGACTCTGTACCCTTGGCTCCCATCCATCCCTTCTCCCCTCTTCTTCGAGCAACAAATATCGGTAGCACCGGAGGAAGGAGGACACCTCCCGCCCGGGGACCTCAGGACAGACGGCATCGATCTGCGTCTTCAGCATTGACTCCGAGACTTTCTTGAGCATTGACTCCAGCTCATTGTTCTACCGCAGATGCGTGCAAGGCGACAATTATTAAAGCCTAGAGGCTAAACAGCTATACTTTTCCTGAGTGACGTAAAGGAAGTTCTCTTTCAGATTCCCTAAAGACCCTTCCTCTTACAGTCTTTTGACTCTCAGCGGTGGGCGCTTTCCTCATGAGAGATGGTCACGAAAAAAACATCAAGTCGACGACTTCAACACTCTCACTAGCCTTCAGCTTGACCATGGGACACGTCCGGGGACACACCTGGTTTTGTAGTGTGATCCTTCGTAAATCAGCTCGGTGGTTCAGGACATTCAGATCATTCAATACCAATGATTGGCCAGGAATCCCAGGGCTCTGATATTTAGACCACTTGAGGACAGTGGGGACGAAAGCAATGGGTGTGGAAGGATCAAGGGGACGCGGAGGGAGGGCAGCAACGCAACGCTTTTGTGCCACGAGCGCAAAGTGTTGTTGGCTGAGTCAACCGAACACAAAAAAACAGCCTCGACTTTCATATTGTCTTTTCTAGGCATTTGGTATGCGTTCTCACAAGGACGAGGGAGGAGTCGAACAGATTCTTTCAATTCACTTTACAGGGGGGGGGCCGCCCCCCCCTTAGACGTTTCAATCTGCAATTGAAATATCAATTCCTTTGAGAGGGGGTGCGGTTATTGAAAGAATCAATAAAAAGGGAGGGGGGGGCCCCCCTCGGCTGACCCCTCCCTTTAATTGAAAGAATCAATTAGTTCACTGAACCTTTCAATGTTGAGCCTCACCATATTTCGTAAACAACAACTTCCGCTGAGCTCCTTCTGAGCTCGCTTTCGTGATTTACAGTGGATTGAGAATCGAAGGCACAATCCCCAAGTTCGGCGGTTTATGTGGACCCCCGAGCCATCACAGTGATCTTGGGGGCCCTGTGCCATCTACTCTGAAACCACTGTAAGTTGCACAAGTAGTTGTTTGATCCAACATAAGTTAACAAAATGTATGTCATCAGTTCCAAAGCACTGCTTTTTAGTCCCTATAGTGGGTAGATCAATCGACACCCCTGGCCTCCATAAAGCACCCAGCACCCCTTTGGAACTGCTGGTAGACGCACATACATAGCAACCCCCGCCTGGAACCTCGTTGAGAAGGCTGTTCCCCAGGACCAGGAGGTGGAGATCCCTTGGGTGTGTATTTCTAATGGGGATCCTGGCCCTGTGGGGAGACTGGCCGAACCTTCCTGCGGTTCTTTGGGAGGTCCCTATGCTGACTGCATGGTGCTTAGTAGAGAATGACGCCCGACTATAGATACCTTAGGATCCATTCTCATTCCTTGCTAAGGAACCCGATTTACCAAGGCCACTGTGCAACGGTCACTACGCTGCAGTGGGACTTCCTGCGCCGAAGACGCCTCCAGCACCGCCGAAGACTTCGGCCCAGCGTGGGCTGGCAGGAGTGGGCGTAGACGCCTGCGAGCAATCACCAATACAGTAACAGATACAAATAATATATCGTCATAATTTCTATAATCAAAATAATATGTTTTACATACCAGCACCTTCGAAGGGGTCTCCCATGTAATACTCTACACTGCAGGTGGATCCTCGAGTTGGACCTCTTTGAAGGTTCAGGCAGATGTGGAGATCTTCCGAAGCGTCGATCTGTTAGGATGAGAAACTTGAGACATGTTGAGACGCCAGTCAGTGCTCTCGATCGCAGTCCTGTTTTCCTTTCAGGAAGTCAAAGGAACGATCCCATCAACCAGTTCCAGCCAGAATGTGCCAGAATGGCAACATAGGCCATCACAAGTTCCCATCACTTAAAAAATCCTTCGCCCACCTCTCGGACGAAAAACAAAGACACTACGAACGTAGAAAGTGGGGGTGTTTCTAGGTTGGGAAGTGTACAGCTTATGAGAATGCTAACACCTATGCTGTATGAGACACTTGTCCTTCAAAATCAAGTCAGCCTTGACCTGCCATAGTTTTGTAGCTCTCATACTTGTGGTAGCTAAGGTTGTGTTTCACAGTATTGCACACAGGCAGCCATAGTTAGCATGAAAAAACACACATTTAAACACATGTTGGATGGAAGTTGGAAGGTCCTACACGTGTTTCGCTTTGTTTAGACTATAAAGACTATAATTATATACCCTCCTGCAGAACGTGGAATACCGCTGGATTTGTTCAGAGCCCATCATTGATCGGTTAATGCACCAGTCCTGTGGATGTCTTTGGGCTATCCCACAGGTGTAAAGTCTTGATGAACAAAACAATCATTTGGATTGACAACACCGCTTCATGCGGTGAAGGAAAAAATGGAGGCTTCACAGTGCTTCATATTGGCTTCATATATTGGACCAATGGATGCTTCATATTTCAGGCAGTATTACGGGGGTGTTCATTCATCAAAAAGTCCGGCCTCGCCTCGCGAGGATGTCCAGCGGCACCTGCACCGCGCGATGGTGCTGCGACGCCCGGCGATGCTCCGCGGCAGTCTGAGGCGCGCGCGGAGCCGGACGACTGGGATTGGAGGCCGAAGCGCGCGAGGACGGTGTCCCTTTCGATGTGGACTCGTTTGGAAAGTGTGTGGGATGAAAAGGATGATTTCCGTGGGTGGGATGCTTTTCCGTATGAATCCGTATGATCTACCTCAACCTCATCAAAACGGACCAAGCTTGACTCCGAGCTGACCGCGGGAACGTCTCCAAAACCAGGGGCTCGGACCGTTGGTCCCGGAAGGACGCCCGCATCGGCCGACCCACACCGCACCCTTGGGGCACGGCCGCCATGTGCCAGGGTCACCGCACGCGCCAGGCGCTGGGCTTCCTGCCACGCGCCAGGCGCCAAGTAGGAGTGGGATGGCTTGGGGGCAGCAAAGATCCCCAACTGGACCGGATGGCCGGATGCCCACAAAATAAGGGGTGTACACATATCAACCAAATGCATCAAAATGCTGTGCTGGGTAGCCAGCCAGTGCTCTGCTTAAAGTGAACTCGTGGGAGGAAAACATCATCAACCTGTTTAAACTTCGATGGCTGTTGCTCCCAGCGGATGTTCATCTGATTGTCCCATTACTCAGAGAGGCCATGGGCAAACATCGAAGTTCGAATGTGGACTGCTGAAGCAAAGCAGGCGACGACAAAAACACCATCGAGCAACAGTGGGTGAGGAAACCTAACAGTTTTGATAAGAACCACGAAATGGACTCCGAGCTAGGCCAAACCTGAAACATCCTGAACCCCCCATCGGCGGAAAGATGCGGAACGGATTCCAACATGTTCCAACACCTCAGAAATCTTACGTCAACTTGTCAACCTACGCACTGGTACCCCCAGTACTCGCCGCACTTGTGATTGAGGATGAAACGATGCAGGTAGCTGTGTCTCCTCGCTTGGAGTAAGGTCTTCTCAGGAGACGTGCCCGCTTGATTGTTGCTTGCTCGTTTCAGTGCATCGGTGCCGCGACGTCCAAGCAGCTATAGCAGCTATAGCACATTCCAGAGGTTGAAGGACCCGAACTAGACTATCCAATAGGTACCCCAGGTGACGGGTCCTATTGACGGTCACTTAACCTCTGTTGGTTGTCACTGGACCATGAGAATGAAGTCGCAGTTGAGCTCCATCCATTGGGCAGTCGCGAGGGCGACTGCGAAGCGTGACTTCAGAAATGTAGGTGGGATTAGTCTCCACCTGCCCCCCCTCGAACATGGTCCCCGGTAGCTGATGCATGCTGCTACCTTGACCTGACCCGTGCTTAGTAGGGAACGAGGGTGGCTGTACCCAAAGGAATCTTTTGGGGAGCTCATTTATTCCTAGCGATGGCCTCCAACCTACTAGCGGCCTGCACCCACAGCGAGCTCATTGATTCCCCTTCTTCCCTCCTTTCGTCACACCGATGCCACAGAGCTCATCCCTCCACCGTCCGGACAACCCGCTCCGTCCCCGCTCCTCCGAAGAAAAGGCCCTCTGGATGAGAAAGGCGCCCGGCACCGGCAACTCCTCGACCCGGCGGCGGCTCCGGTGGGACTCGGGTGCTGCGAAAGGAAGAGCTCCGTCACGACTTCCGGAACTGGGAGATTGACATAAAAACTGACCTATATAGTTAATGATTGGGGGTGGTTGAACAAAGGGACTACTATGACTCATGACATTTGATATACAAGGGTCTCCGTATTCCTGTAGTCAGTGAAACCTGGCTTTGTTGCAGGGTGGATTCCACCTCCAAAAGTGCCTTTTTTGCAGATGCCTTGTAGACACCCTGGACCAGCCCGATGCGGCGCGTTCTGTCGCGCTGCGAGGCGCCTGCCGCTCGGGCTGCGAGGCGCCGGCTCCTTCCTCCAAGGCTTCGCCTAAAGCGGCGGCTGCAGCTGTGAGGGCCGCCTGGCGATTGGTCGAGTTTGGATCGAAAGATACAGCACGGAGAAATCAATGTGTTGAAGATGTCTTTATAATTTAGGGTTTTAGATGGTTTTAGGATTTAGTTTAGGGTTTTATAAACACTTTTCGTTTAAACGTGTTTTTCAAACACCGAAAAGCCATCCTGAAACCCTTGTCGATTCAAGAACCTGTCAGTAGTAAGCTGTGCATGGTTCCTTGCACACGGCACGTCTCTACTTGGCTCTGAGCCAACCTGCCAGGTAAGTTCGAAGCAGCGAAAACCTGGTCATACAGACTTTCAGATTCCTGCCAAAATTCGCCAAAGGTCTCTATCTGGATTGAGATAATCCTCGGTGTCCAAATCTTACAGCACTCTGATGTGCGCATGTGCACGCGCACTTTGGAACGTGAACTCAGATCTCTCTAGATCATGGAAAATACCAGGACTCTCACCCTGCCGTCACCAGGTTGCGACTTTGAAGTCTGCCATATCGACGAAAAGGGAGACCAAACGGGGGACCTGTTGGAAGGTGGTATACGGGACACTTGGTCCATCTTGGTCCCAAACACTTACAGTATTATTCAAACTCCTCTTGACAGTCCTGCATCCAGGCCATTCCACCGCGCCTCGGTTGCCTCATCCAACAGCGCCAGCTTCGGCTTCGCATCCCCGGTCTGCCTGGTCTGCGGGGCGGTGCCCCACTCGGGGCCCCACTCATGTCTTGCCAAGTGGGTTTTCTGATGTTGCTTCATCCAAAACATAGGGATGGACAGATCCCATTTTTGGATTTCTGGAGCTCTGGAAATCTTCTCATACGCCAACAACCGGCTCTGAGTCTTTTCGAGGCAAGTCAGTGGGGTCGTTGCGACGGTTCCTTTCGCACGCGAAGAAAAAACAAGGCTCGCGGCCTGGCATCGGCGCGAGGATCCTGGAGGGGAGAGGACTCTGTGGGACTCTGCCAGAATCAGTACATGTGACAAGACCGAGTAAAGAGTGATTGCCAAACAAGAAACAACTGAGAAATGGCAATTGAGAATTAACATGTGGGTGTCCAGCTCACTACTTTGCTTGTTAGAATCAAAAGACTTGGTAGACGATTTCCTTTGTGTCAAACTGAATCAATCAAACTGTTAAACGTCCCGCATGTAGAGTAGATCCCATAATCCCAGCGGACAGAACATACTGAATTTCTCACCCGATCAGTCAGTAACACAATGCTTTTCACGTCTCTTCCTTCAGCATGTTCCCCCCTCCGCAGCCTCCGTTGGGGCTGGGGGCGCCTCTTTCGGCGCTTCAGGCCGACCAGCGACCGGGAGTCCCAAAAGAAGCAGCTCAGCATAGCTCACCATGGCGCTTCACATACCGGGTGCGCCGGCAGGAGTTGTTTCGGGATAAAGCTGGTCCGTTCAGGCGACGCATCTTCTGCAGAAGAATGACACAATCTGAATCACAGGTCAGCTTGGGAGGCTGTGGGTTGTACATGCATGTACATACTGCTGGGAGGAAGACTACCCCACCTGATACCAATTGGCCTCTGGACTAGTTATGTATAGAATTTCATAAGTTCCGTTCCATCAGACATCTGCTGAGCGTCTTGTTTTGGGGAGTGAGCATCCACTTGCACGCTATTTTGTCTTGATGGGGTCTATATAGTCCTAATTAATTAGTTTTGAGATTTGGCTATAGATGCTCAATGCAAAGAGCAATCCTGAGAAACTGGAGAAAACGAGGGCCACGGCGGCACGGCCACATCCCTAGGTATGCCTGGCGAGTCCAGGGCTGTTCGGCGTCGGTTTCGCCACACACCGCGGTGGCTCCAACAGATCCTCCGAGCACTTCCGAGCCCCCAACGAACGAGCGGAACTCGCGCACGAGTTCCGGGCGCAGCGAAACGTTGGAACTCCCAAAACCTTAAAGGTGTTGCAATAAAACAATCCCCCTACGTCTGAAGAGGTGCTTGCCAAATGGTCTGCCTAGAGACTGCAGCCTGAGTACCGTCCTCATCACCGTGAAAACTGGTTGGTCCTGTTGGTCCAGCAAACAGTACTGCGAAGCGAACACGTCAATTGGAGCTCGGCCTGCTCATTTCTGCATGATCATTGCCTGTACAAGTGGCACGAAAGGTACCTGGAAGCTTTCGTTCTTGCATCGTGGCCGTCGGTCGATCCACCTAGGTATCCTGGTGGTTGAATCTCATATACCTGACAAGTCTGACAAGAAACTCGGGCGAGGTTTGACCAACACCAGTGATGCAAGGACTTTTCATCCATCTTCACCTCTTTCATCCTCTTTCAAAGTCAAGAGGCGAAGGATAATGCCAGGCCCTTTCAGGGCAGGGGGTCTTCCAAACCCAAACTGTACAATGTTGCACCTCCGAAAAGAGCCTCGAAAAAAGGCACGCTTCAAGAGGGTCAAGTCTGCGAAATAGGTTTTGGCTCTATTGTCCTCCCAGCTCGCAAAAGAGCTGGCGCAGCTCTTTACGCCCTCAATACGCTAAAGAGTTCCTCTCGACATCCTTATGGATCCAATGACCTCCATCCTGGATGGTCTGGATGAAATCGCTCCGCACGATCCTGGATGAGAAGTGGAGTTTGCGCGGAGGGACACGACAGGACTGGCAGATTTACCTGCAAACTGGCTGACCTGGGTCAATGTGGGCAGATATGCCAAACATGGACCCTAGTCTTCCAAGTAAGACTGATTAAACATGGGTGACCATGTTAGTGTAAAACAGTATTGTTCGGTGAAATCTATTAAATATAAATGGTGGTTGCAATTCGCGGGTGGAGTGCCTGCGAATGAGTCTTGGTCCATGTTCACTCCTGCAGGGTGTCGAACTGGGAGGTGTCCCCCAAGATTGACCTGCTAGAAAAAGCGGTGTCCTCCCCTTGTCCCCAGGTCAACTCTCAGAGATATCGGCCTGCCACTTGGAGAAGAATTCTCCCCCTAGGTCTCATCGCCTGTGTAACTCCCAAACTCGACCTTTTGGTCTGCTTTTCTTGCCATTGGTAGCCTGCCTCAACTGACACAACGCCATCAACCAAGCCACTTGCCCCGGCGCTTGTGCCAAAGACCTCCTCCCTGAGAGACTGGTTCATCCTCAGAGAAAACCAAAGGAAATTGTTTTGGAGTCCGTGGGAAGGGCGCCCTGGGATAGGGTGTCTCAGTCTACTAGAAGGGCCACCCCGGCGCAGGCTGTTGGGCTGATGGTTGGATATGGTTGCTTGAGAACGTTTGGGGCATAAGGTTGCTGGTTCTCACCAATGTCCAATCCCAAACCATCCATATACATATGGAATCTATAGCAATTTACATTGGGGTCAGACATGGTGCACATATCTGCAACGATTCCATACATGGGTCTGAGAATATCTTCGTATCTTCTCCAATCAATCAAACCTACCCAAAAAGGACACACATTTCGGTGACGAGACAAACGGCGAGCCTGTGACTGCCACTTCCGAATCTCGGGTCCTCCAAACAGTACTATGCCCGTTCCAACAGTGCCGAGTGAGTGGAGCCAAGGGTAGGTAAGTTGGAGTAAGGGAGGAATGCATCAATTTTCGCATTATGGATCTACCAGCAGTTCCAAAAGGGTGCCAATTAGAGGATAAGGGTGCCCATGATCCACTCACCGGATGGGCGGACTAAAAACCCTTCCTGGAACTGCTGGTATCTGTGTTTTATACTGGCTGCGCCCGACTCCAGGGAGCATCGAAATTCATCGGACATTCACCAACGCAAATCCTCCAAAGGCCATCCTCCGTATTTCGTCCACGGAACGAACCTCAGATCCCAGCCAGTGACCAGTTGAAGCGACCCAGAAACGATCTCATGGCTGCCCAGGGCTCTGCCTGGTCTACTGGCGGCCATCTTGAATCCCTCTTCTTGAATCCCGTTCTCTCCCCCTCTTGCCATCTTCCCACGGTGTCTCCTCTGCTTCAACCCGTGCTCCTCCGAGCTTCGATGCGAAGATACACGCCTTCCAAAGGCCCTTCGCCGAAGGCTGACGTGCGTTCCAAGAAACCCTGCGGGAGGTGGGTGCCAAGGGCGCGAGAGACGCGAAGTGGGGCGACCAGTCTTCAGGCGAATTCGGATCAATATACCAGGGGTCACAAAGGGGTGGTGTTTTGTCCCTAAGTGAGTGGATAATGGGCACCCCTATCCTCCTCCAATAGGCACCCCTTTGTGACTGCTGGTATATAATAGTTTGTTGCTTTTCGATATCACAGGGTTCCCAGGAGCTGTTCGGCGCTTGCATGCAGGCTCGCAATGAAAGCTCCCCAGCTCCCCGCGAAGTTTTTTTCGAGTGGCCAAACGCTTAGGTATTGGACAGGCCACACGGGATTGTGGGCCATGCTTTCGTTATATTAAATGGACCGCACGATGTCCCTTTCGATTTGCCAAAAAGCTCACAGACGCGAGGCGCGAAGCGGGGCGAAGCTCAGGTCTGTTTTGTGGTGGGGAGATGGGAACCCCATCAATCCTGCGAAGTGCTTTCCACTCAGGCTTCGTTCACGCCGAGAAGGTAGAGTTGATCTGGATGAATTGAAACAGTATCCAATACATTCTCAGTAGGGCTTTACTTTTCTATCTGTTTTTATAGGGTTGCTGGTGTGTCTGATGGTTTCTGCCCGCCATGTTTCGAATGTTATTCCATACACATGCATGTGTCACCTAAAAGGTGCATTGTGTCTACTCTAGTGTGACAATACTGCAAGTAATGTTACCTCAGTCATTGTGCATCTTCTACATCACCAACCCGCAAAAAATCCAATTCTTGGCAATCCATAAACGCCAGCAGGCTAACGGCTAACGTGGTTTACATTAACTTTACCGTCGGTTCACATGAACTTCCCCCGGTCTGCCCCCCCACAGCCCCCAAAGACTCACTTCGTTCGCATGAACTAACTTCAGCCTGGCCTGTCGGCTGGCTTTCGGAACATATATACACCCACATACGAGTTGCTCCCCAAATAGATATGATGGAAACCTTCAACAAAGATCAGTTACTCCCAAATAGATGTATCTTTTTGGAACATCGTGTTCATTCCTCTTCCTCTTCCACCTCCGATCGCCACCGCCACCTCGGCTTCCTCCTTTTTCAGCGACCCGCTCCGATCGCTTCGCCTCAAGCTCCTGGCGATTCGCAAAGCTCCGCTCGGCCAGTTGTGGCACGACCTGAGATCCGCTGCCCCCCCCACCGGAGGGCTGAAGCAGCGGCACGGGGCGGGGCTTCGCCGGCAGGATCCACCGAAAAAGAAGTGAGGTGACCGGTGGAGGGGTCCTCTTTTTTGGAAACAGCACAACAGGTCCATGTGGGGGATATGTGGGGGATACAGTAATATATTATATGCCGGATCAGGTTGATGCCTGAAACCAATGATCCAAAATTTCATGGGCCAATCGGCTAATTCCCATGGAGCGTCTGCAAAAAAGACAACTCAACTGCCCCGGGAAACACACGGAAAAAAACGACCTCTGTATCGGCACGTGGGTATGTGGTTGTCCATGTACACATGGACAAAAGTTGGTGAGAAGCTTGTAACGACATGACCTGCAGCCCTTTCCCCTTACAATCCCATGACTCCTCTCCACCGGACTCCCATTTGGAAGGACACTCTGGAGAGAAACTGCTAATCAAACTGTCTTTCTCCTGAAGTATTTGAATAGGGATAGCAGGCTTTCGGTCCACATCCACTAAGGCGTATCAATCTGTGAGTCGTCAGGTCCCGTGAACGCGCCATACAAGTACCAGTTTGCTTGCTGCACCAGGTGGAAAGTCTGGGATCTCCAGGTGGGTGGGAACATGCTGGAGCATGCACCAAGATTTATATAATCGTCTGACTTATGGTGATGTTTGATGATGTTTGTTTTTTAGAGCAGAAGTGAGCAAAACATATCTCCAGGTCCTTGGATTGTCTCTTGAACTTGGCTGACCTGGGGCTCTCCTGATCTGCGCAGTGAGGGAACTTGGTCTTCTCACCGAGTGACCGGGATATCCAGGCCCTCCAAACGCCGGTTGCGCTCTCGGACTGACACGAAGCGTCCTGGACAGGGTCTGTTGGTCAGTCGTTTGGGTCAAGGAGGGAATGACATTGCTTTATAAGAAAACAACGTTTCTATCAGTTCGTGCCTGTCCTCAAACAAACATGGCAAACCTGCTAGGCCCTCTTCAATGGATGCTTTCTACTTGGACAGGGTGCTATGTTGGTAAGCAAATGAGACATCGGCTGTGATGTAAGAGATTGTCCTGAACCAAGACGTCAAGGGGACTTTGCATTCCCCAGAATCCCAGGCAATGCGCCGCTGCCCGGACTGCCCGGACTACCCGGACTACCCGCACGCGCCGTTCCCGCCGGACGATGCCAAACAGCGCCTTGGCGTTTGTTGTAAATGTCAAAGGCCACGAAATAGGCCGGAAGCTTGGTATAGGCCACGCTGTGACGCGCCCAAAGCCACTCGCCGAAGAGCACCTCCACCTGCGAGTCTAGACTGTGGAGGGGACTTGGAAAGGGGGACGTGTAGAGGGGACGGTGGGAGGTGTGAGTTCTTCGGGATAAAACGCCGGTGGAGATGAGTTGAGTCGGGGCCAAGCTTCCACGCGGATGTGACATGAAGCCACCATGAGACTCTCAGAAAACCTACAGAGGTTAAGTGACCTTATTATAGGACCTTACTGGGGTACCTATAGGATAGTCTATAGGGTTCTTCAACCTCTGCTGGAATGTCAAATGGATGTCAAACTCCATACAGGAACATGTCACGAGGAACTGCAATGGGCTCCATTCCCAAACACTCCGAGGGACTGGCATATTTACCCATGATAAAGATTCCAGATCTGAAATTGTATATACAAAGGTTCCAGGGGACTGGCTTGTTTATAAAGATATTTACCAATGAAAAACATATTTTACGGTTCACAAGGGCCCACTGTAGGTGTTGAGCCCTGTAGAGGTGGAGGTCCGGTCGAACCCCGAAGGAGAAACTCAGCCAAAACTACCCATACCATCCATGTATGGAATACAACTATGCCTACAACTATGCCTACATCTATGCCCCTCCCCCAAACCACCCCAGGTAAATATGTCACACATGGCAAACCATCCTGCCATAACAGCGAGATTCACAGCGGACCCGGTAATCGCAGGGAAAGGAATGGGTCGCCCGGGACGTCGCGGGTGATTGGTCAAGTGTCCCACGCCTTGGTCAACCTGGTCTTTGAGCCTGGTCTATCCTCCACATACGCACGCCGGGACGTCGTGGCCTCGGGTTCTAAGAGTTGGCAAATGGCCCAGCCATGTTCCTCCCACCAGCTGTCCAAGGCTTTCCATTGCGTGGCATATCCGCTGGAGACGTAGTGTGCCCGATTCTGGTAGAGCGGCTCATAGCTGTCCTCACCAAAAATCCCGGTGGGGCACGCCATTGGGAGCAGCTCAAAAAGCGGTGCGGCTGCCCGTACTTGGGGTCTAGACTTAGTATGTATTTTGGTCAGGGAAGGTCCTGACAGTCAAGGAGAAGGTCCTGAATTGATTACATGGGTTTATCATGACATAGACACTGGACCTGGTCTACCAGATGCTTCCTTATGGGGTCACCTAGCTGGACAAGCTATATAAGTATAAATAGGTCTCCAGACAGTGCACCCATTGGAAGCCCCATAGGACATGCTCACTGCACATCACCTTCCACCTGTGACATGCTGTGATATCGGGTATGCTCACCCTCCACCCGCCCATCTGCCCATCAAACCACCCACATGCCTCGCAGTCCAACCCAGAGCCAGACAGATCCCTCATCCTCCCTCACTCTATATCCAGGCCATGTGCAACTATGCCTCGGTAAGTGAGATTCCCAAGTTTGCGCCATCAATCTTCTCTTCCATGATGATGGTCGTCTTCCCATCCTCAGCTCATGCGGCATGGTGCGCATCCCGCTATCCACTGATATGACCGCTGCTTGGAGAGGGAAGAAAAACACATACAGATTTGGGGTAAAGGTCGGTTCTAGAGGGCCTGAACCTCAGGAGCCCCCCTCCTGGGTTTGACCGCCAGGAAGCGCGCCGGAACGTGGACGTGCGTCTCAAGAACCAGATCTTCCGGTACACGCACTCGCGGACGTCGGCCTAGCCAGCACCTTCCAGATTGGTACTGGTTACAGTGATTACAAACGCTATACATGTTCTGGTAGATGTTCATCTGGCAATCGGGCCAACTTATATCAACTGACCCTCGTTCTGGGATAATGGCCCATGGCCCATGTTTGACCCGCCGCAGGCTCATCTTCATCTCCACCATGTCCAACTGCAAAAGGAACACCACACTTGTCTTTTTCTCCAAGTAGCTCTCATGATGATTTTCTCCTGCCACACGTGTGGGATGAGACTACCGTCCCAAAAATGGACCGTTTGCCAGGGTCCCGATGTTTGCACCATGCTGCGCGGCCCTTTCTTCGATCTTCCAAGCGCGTCACTGACCACCCTCCGCCGGTCAGGCACGCAGGCCCTTTTCGACCAATGCTTCGGCCGCAGGACCTCTTGGGCTTGGCCCATCAGCCCAGCTGAAGGCCTTCCAGCACGCTATAGTCGCTGCTACACACCGGCAGGTTCGCCGGTGAGCCGTCTGCGGAGCGTTGCAAGACCATCTTCGAGTAGCGAGCCCACTCCTCGGGCCAGCCGGGTGAGAAAGGTTGAAGGAGACCAAGAGAGGTTAAGAGACCTTATAGATCTTATAGGACCCGTCACCTGCGGTGCCTAAAGGATGGTCCAAGAGTCGGGTTCTGACCCACCTCTGCTGGGACCCTCCAAAAACGCTGATGGTTGTTTCGGAGGCAATGTGTTTTTTTCAGATTCCCCATGTGCTAACTGGGGGACTTTTTGGTGTGTGTGCTCATTGCGGTCTTTTCCGATGATGATGTTCAATGTTCAGATAATTGTGTTAAAACCATGATAAAGCTTTTGGCATGCTTCTCGGGAACATTGCGAGAAACGACAAATAAATCCCTACATTCGAAACAGTTCAACCGATCACAAACAAATCATAGGATTTGTCTACAAAAAAGTCTACGGGGAAACCTCTGTTTGAACAGGGAAACTCCGAATACTCCAGTGAATTCCACGTGTTTTTAATAGAAAAGCTCTATGATCATAGCCAAGCCTGGAATCATGAGCATCAGACTTGCACATCAGGTTGGAGATGGTTTGCTGACTGCTTGCCACTGGATCAGACTGATCCGCAGTTAAGGCTTTTCGCCAATGTTTGCTCTCGTAGGGTTTGGATCCCAATCTGTTGCAGGGGGATGGCTCTTCCTCCTGCTTCAAATAGAGGCATGTCCTCAGGCAAGAAGGATCCGTCCACTTACAGTGAGAGTAGATGGCACAAACCCCAAGAAGTCGTTGGTTTATATATGAACCCCATGTATCTGCTCTGAAACCACTGTTTTTTGCCCCAGAAGGAGACCAACGACTGATCTTTTTTTTGCGAGGGTGTTCCAATAGTTCCTGAACGTCACGTCTTAAACAGACTCGACTGAAGTCGACTGGACTGAACCCGTTGCGCCATGCGAAGGAAGCCATGCCATGCGCCTCCAAGTTCAACCTCCCTTGAAAAAGCCAGCTGGTGGGCCGGTGGGCTTGGATTGGCTGGTTCGGAACCTGGAAGACATATAATATACATATTCCCCAGATTTCTCCAGGTTAGTTAGGGGATTGCCCCAATTCAGGAAAATCACATCCACAACTCCAGCACCAGGTGCACCAGGCCCTGAAGGCCCTGAAGGGTCTCCCTGCTGGTGGATGGTCCAAAATCCCAAGAGTGGAGTACCCCTTAGATGTTCCTCCAAGCACCCTTCGTGTTCGAAGCAACTTTGGGCACCCACCCCAAGCGCTGAACAAAATGGAGGACACGGAGGTAGGGCAGGAGCCCTACCTTCTGTGGATTCCATCAACCAGTCTTGGCCCAAGTGTCTTGGCGCCCAAACGGGCCTGCTGGACATAGACCGAGTTGATGCCGCAGTCGAAGGCGTCGCACGTCGCGACCAAGTCCTTTCCCTTCAGGGCGTCGATCTGCTCATCCGAAAACTTCAAGTCCTGTAGGAGGTTGTCAGTTCTTGTTTCATATCCACCAGAGGTTGAGAGACCTGAACAGGTTGATCTGTAGTGACTTGTAGTGGTACAGATCAACCTCTGTAGGCAGTTCGGATTGCACCCTGAATGTAACATAATGTAGCTAGATTTCTCTTCAAGGAACCAAGCTGTGGGACGACCAATCCATCTGCCAGGTTTGAAACATGTTTTCAATGAAATCCGTTGGGTCACCTGTTTCGGGTCAAGACACTTGCTTCAGCTCGGGAATTGGCCGGACCAGGTTTCCAGTCCTCCTTCAAGATTCGATGGAATGGTGATGGTGCAAAAGTGATGGCTTTGAGCACATCCGGCTGACGAGCAGCTGTGACAATCGACAGCAGCCCCCCCAAGGAGTGTCCAGTCCTCTGCGGCTGACAGATAATGCAACTTGTGCATCAAAACGATGATTCCAGGAACCCCGCATACAAATTAAATTTGTTGACCGAGTAGTCTTTTCGTAGTCCAACAAAAATGAAACAACCCTCCTGAGCGTCTCGAACCAGAGACTTTTAGCTTGGTCGGTTGGTCACAACGTTTTCAACATTTCTCCAGCTCCCGGTTGAGGCACCAGGCACCATTCCTAAGTTGGAAAAACAACATCGAAAGAAAACACCTGCTTTAGCCGTCCGAGATTCAAGGTCATGCTATGATCGGGCAGTTCTTTTTGCACATGCCGCACAAAGGTATCAGCCTGTTGAGTGAACTGCAACATGTTGGCGCGCGCGTACTTGTCACAAACCTCGTCAGAAGCACCAAACCCGCTTGCAAGCCCATCTGTCACGGAACCATAGGCTCTGGCCCGTTTCAGGAAGCACCAATCCAGAGTACATTGCTCCAAATCTGATTTCATACAAACGCCTTTGAACGCCACCAGCACGGTCTTGCTTTGAGGTTCCAAAAACACCCGTGCAAAAACACCGCCCGGCGTGGGATCTCGATCAAATTGTCTCAGCCGGTGCCATTCTCGATCTCCAGCTATGAACCTATCCAGCAGATCTACGTCCATCTGATAGAGAGGCCTCAATCGCGGCGCTCCTACGAACAACCACTCCACCGCACTCCTCAACCGTTCAAAAGAATCCACCCACACCTTCCTGGCTGCCCAGGACTTACCAAGAGTACACGCATGTCATGCACATAAACCTGAGAAGCTGCAAGACGAAAGCCAGCGCTTTTTGTCAACGAGCACGTGGTTGGCCAAAGACAGCATGTTGCCAGGTATAGCACTTCAATTTCCCTTTCCCTAAGCCGCTAGATAACCTTGAGAAACGTGCAGCAATCCACAGCTTTGAAGTCTCATTAGTGCTTTGACTTTTGTAGGTGTGTAAGAGATTATGCACTCACAGCTGCACCAAGCTACAACACATTGGCCTCGGTAAAACTACACCTTACCATGCAGATGATGCAAATGCAAAAAATTGCATTTCTTACATCACCACCCGCTCAAAAATCACAAAGAATCACCTCCAAAACAACCTCCAAAACCTTGCTTCCGTGCACCCCTAAACACCACCTAATTTCGAGTTTACGTAGGGGTTTCTCGGGCCACCCCCCCAGACCCCCTACTTACTCACTTCGTTCGCCAAACACAACTCAGCTGGCGCCTTCTACGAAGGCTGGCTTTCGTAAAATAGACAGCCTGGAGTTGATAGAGCACGGACAAATCACAAAACCAAAGCCACAATGGTCAAAGTGTGCCCTGAAGATGTGTTTGGCATTCGTAGTGTGGGTTTCCAACAACCATACGTTCAGAATATGAGATTCCTCGAGTGTTTTTTCCTGCCGGGCGCGGAAGCGATGCCAATTTGCGCAACAAACTTCTGACGCAAGTGAGTTGGACTGATGATCATACAAGAACGTGGAAGCCACGCATGAGGAGACGAACCTGGAATAGAATCTGGGCGGCTGGGTTGCACGAAAGGTCCCCCATGTCTCGCCCATGCCTCTGCGACGCAATCTGCAACCTTCAAGACGCAGGCCGTTGTCAAACATTCTAGTTCACAATCTTGGAGGGTGCAACATGCGATAAGCGTGAGTGAGTCTGAGCAGCCGAGAACATCACCTTGTCGGAAACTTCCTTCAGTTACGGCAGCGCAGCGCTATTTTGTTCCTATTGCAAGGTCAGTGTCTGTCAACGATGGACGGGACAAGGATGGGGTGTGCCAGTTGTGACTCAGTCAAGTATACAAACAGGGCTGAGCTCATCTGGCTTACAACATCACTACCACATGTGCATGGTGTGTAAGAATAGGGGGTTGCAGGTGGAGAGAGGTGGGGCACACGCCATCTTCATCCGACCCTTTTTTAATTTTTATCAGATCGACCTCAAAATGCCATCCGCCGTTTCATAATCAAATCCCCGAAGCTTCTTCATCCTCAGAGCTTGAGAAAAGTTCAAAATGAAACTGCTCCGCCTACTTGAATGAGCAAAACAGCCTAATTCAGGCTGTGTCTCATTTCCATGAGCTGTCGTCCAGCAGATACAAAGCCAAAAATGATGTCATAAGATAGGCCACAAAAGAAAAACATGTCAGAAGACATGCCGGATAGAATGCTAGAAGATATGCAAGATGCAAGGTATAGTAGAATGCCAGAATATATGCCAAATAGAATGCCAATCAATAGAATGACAGAAAACATGCCACGTAGAATGCGACAAAGGATGTCAGAATTTGTGTCCGGTAGAATGCCAAGATATGCCAAATAGAATGCCAGAAAGACTGTCATGTCAGAAGGTGGGGATCACACAAACAAATCTATTTATCGTTGTTTGTTCACATTCCATCTACTCCGGGATGGTTCTTTGTATAAACTATGTGACATAATGTGTATATATATAATTATATATAACATGTTATAACTAATTTGATCTAATTTGTAATGTTGCATTCAAAAACGACATAAAATGAGCATCTGTCTGTATCTGTACTATGTACATATCTGTAGACCTCGCATGGCACGATGTCGCTCTCTCTCTCTCTCTCTCTGCGTTTTCCAACCCTTTAGGATCGCGGAACCTTCGGCAGAGCCGAGCAGTGAAGTGCCTACACTCTGACGAACACATCACAAGGTTACGTGGATGGCATGGCCACGGGGGAAGACTCGGTCTTTCCTCTACGAGCACAGGGTGGTTCCAGAACGAAGGCCCCTTTTCGAAAGCGAGGAGTCAGCGAGACACTACACAGAAAGGAGTTGGCGACGACTGGTGATGAGAGGGTTTTTGAATGTGTTTGAAGGGACGAATCCCAGCTGTAGAACTGAGTCCTCTAAGAGACCACTGAAACAGAAGCACGGCGTTCCCAAAGGCCATTGTCCACTTCCATGTTAGTGAATTGGAGTACATGTTCCAACATCTTCCAATATCGCCATACCAACACATGCCATTCTGCCGCAGCCTTGTTGTGTTGTAGACCAAAGTGTTGGCGAACACCAAGGGTTCCATAGCAGCCAGGAATGAGCCTGGGGGTTGGTCGGAAAGCATCTCCTGGAAGTTGAAGAAGTCTACCTTTTGGGTGATTTGCGCAGACTGAGGCGTCAGGCTTCGCTGAAGCATCTGCATGCCAGGCAAGCAACCCTCGTCCTGGACCTCTTGAAGGATGCCTTCTTGGGCAGCCGCCATCGCCAAGAGAAATACATGAATCATGATGCTGAAGCTGTCTGAAAGCACTGGGAGTTGCGAGGTGAACCGAAGAATGTCCAGCTCAGCTGCCCCTGTGATTTCATCATCTAGAGTCTAGAGGTTTAAGAAAATCGGCCGACATTAGCATCATCCTGTTGAAGAATCACTTACTTTCACATGGACCTCATTTATTGGAGCTTCACTCGATTGCGAACTCATGCCTCGCGGGTTGTTGCCCTTGCTGGCTTCGGGGTTCAGTTGGTTCGTGTCCCAAAACGGCTTGAAAGGGTCATCAAGCCTCCGAGCGGCAGCGGTGGCAGCGGTAGCCGAGGTGCCCTTGCCGCGTGGAGGTCGCCCCCCCCAAAAAAAAAGAACTCCCAGCTTCTTCAAAGTGACCTTTTGAAAGTTCCTAAGTGACCCTTGAGAGACTTAAGTGACCTCAAACCAGGTTATCAAAGGGTCACTTTGAAGAACCAGGTCCGAGTCTTTTTGAACGGAAGTGGTTTTTGGTCTTACGGAGTCACCAGGTGGATCAGCATGAGACCCAAAAGCAGGGGAGGACAGGGAAACGTGGACCTTTGGAGTGATATAGTCCATTCCGTTCGTTGGACCTGTGGCCAACCAAGGTGAGAAGCTGACCAGTGCCCCAGCCACAAGTCTCGTTGATCTCTGACCCTTGGACCGTGACCTCTTGATGATCAGACCACCGCCACTGAACCGAAAGGGGTTTCTCTTTCCACCCCGAACCATCTCTTTTTCCATCGGAGGGTCCAGATTCTGAAGGTACCAGCAGAGGTGGGTCAGAACCCGACTCTTCGTCCATCCTTTAGGTACCGCAGGTGACGGGTCCTAATTTACGGTCTCTTAACCTCTCTTGGTAGGTCATAAATGAGCCATCAACCTCATCCCCCTAGTGGGCACACCAGACCTGCTTCTGCCGATCTGTGTGACTGTTCTCACACCCTGAAATGCTTTGTTTCCACCAACAGCTCAGCACCCCGAGATCCCAAGGCTCTTCACCGCTTCATCCTCCTTAGCCCAAGGTATTCCATCATACTCCATCTTCAAATACAGGTGGGGATCTTGGCATGGCTAGGGGTGGTTGATGGACCTTCGGGGCTTCTGGAGCCCATCATCTTCCAGATCCCTCATCTGACAGAGATGCCCAGCCCACGAGAGCCGAGGCGCAAAGAACTCTTGGGCCTCCTGGGACGTCCGTCGCGCGGCGCGGCGAAACCCCGGAGAGGCCGTAATTCTGGGGCACGAGGGGCACGGAAGTTTGGGGGTGTCACGAAGAGTTTGGAGCAGCTTTCTAGGGTTTGGGCAGGTCGGAAGACATGCAAGTGATGACATGCAAGTGTTCTCCCACCAAATTGGTGGGATCGAGTGATGAAACGTTGATTGACTGGGATTCCAAGCAATTGAAAAAGGTGCTGGAGTTCTAACTAGGTCCCTCAAACGTCTGATGCAGAAAATCCAAGTTGTGATTCGGACATATTCGGACCTTGCCTTTGATGCTTAAGATTCATACGGGCAGAGAGGGGGGTCCTCATTCTTCGCCCGCTATTGGAGGTGTCTTTGCTCACATCACGAAAATACTGAAGCTGGTTCACAAACATGTAGTGGAGCATCGCCCAAGGTTGCTGGAACTAGCGTGGCTCTCACCTGCTCTGACTTTATCCTTGAGGCTCCATCACTCAAAAACAGTAGCCGGTCCTTCTCCCCAGAGCCGGTCCTTCTCGCTCAAGAGCCGGTCGCTCTCGGTCAAGGCCTTGCCATTGGTTAGGTCCAAGATCTCAGCCACAGCGCATTCGGGTGTACATTTCCCCACCAAAGGGGACGGGGACGGTCAATGGGGATAGTCTGTTGCGACATGTGCTGCATGAAGACCATGAATCTCTGCATGAAGACTGTGGATTCAGTATTTGCGAAAGGAACATGGAGATGTTGGGAGATGTCGTTGGGAGAGTCTGCCAGTTGGGACCTGACTCCATCTCCCAAGAAAGGATTCGCCTTTTGGCTTCAGAGGGTGAGCATCTCTTCCAGTCAATTGAGGGGGGGCCAGATGGGACTCTGGAAATCCTGCCTCCACCTGATCGGATTCGAAACAGTTCTTGGTGCGCGAGTTGGGGGACAGTTGGACCTGGACCTGGAGTGATTTCATATATGGGTTCCTTCCCTGGCCGATGGACCTTCTCAATTGGGGCGGTTGGTTGGGGTCTTACGGGGTGTTTGGTCCTGTGGAGTCTCATCATGTGGGTCTCCTTGTCTGGATGGGGATGGGCGAAGGTCCAAACCTCGTCACGTGACCTTGTTCCGGGGGTCACCCCCCCTCACCTTCCAAAAGAGATTAGCCGTGTTTGAACAGCCAATTTTGTCGGAGCATCTCTCCGAAGCGGGGGTGCTGAAATCAGGCCACCTTTTCGCAAGACCGTGAGGCCACCGCCACCGCCACCCTTCTCCCCTGCAATTCCAACCACCATTGTTTAATGATAATGGTCTTTATATGTCTTTATACCCGTGAAACACGGAGGACGAGGAGGTGCCCGATGTTGGCAGCTGGACGGCCAAACAGCTGAGGTCTCCCGGCATGTGGTGTGGTGGGGAACTTGAAGAAGCCCATGGGACCTCAGAACGTGCTTCACACCCGCAGTGCACGCTTCCAACGGGAGGCGGGGTCTTCGAGAGCTCAACGAGTTATTTGTTGTTTTGACGACATCGTGATGACGTCAATGTACTACGGCCGTGGGACACCCCAACATGACACCTGAAACCGCAAGGACTTATGTCAAGAGCTACTGATGCTGGTCGTCTTCGCAAGCTCAGCTCAGCTCAGCTCAGCTCCCAAAGCTGCATGTCACATGCACCATTCATGCTCCAAAAGGTCTGGAATACGTCATGTTGCATCACCACAGACTGTGTCTACCCCGCAAACAGCTATCTCCCATCTCTCCCATCCAAGGACCAATGTCATCTGCACCGTCTCTGCCTTCCTCTGTCAATCTCAGTAGCTCAGACTGTCTCTGGTCTCAGTGTCTCACTCACTTTCGGTGCCTCAGCACCATAGCACTTCAGCAAATGTTCGGCCTCCTTGCACCGGCTCGAAAGTCATCCCAACAAAGGCTCGGACCAATGCTGAGTCGGCCATGGCTCCCATGGCTTCCCATGGCTCCCAGTGCCAACAAAGGCTTTGGTGGCGGAAAGGGAGAAACACGTGGAGTTGGCAGATCATGACAGCCTGCCTCTTGTTGGATGTGATTCTTGTATCATATGTATAGAACCACCGGTGAAGTGGTCATTCATGAGTCATGACAGTCCAATTGTTTTCGTTTTAAGTGATTCATATCAACCCATTCGCGTCAAACACCGACATGAAAGCATTCGTCTCCTGAAAGCTCGTCACGGTCAAGACTTCCTCAAACCCTTCTGCGGTCGACGGCAGCTCCAGCGAGTCCTCAGCGTCCCAGCGGCGTCCGCAGCAAGAGAAACGCCGGCGAGCTCGGGAAAGAAGTCAAGGCGATTGGAGGAGTTGAAAAGGGGAGAAGGATGGAGAAGGGTAGGGTGGACTCGAACTCAACACATAAACCCAAACCAACCAAAAGCAAGCCACATACCTAATCAAGCTACACGAATCAGCAACAACGCCCACCAAGCACAGGAAAGCTCCAAAAACAAGATCCAAAGAACACCACCCGCACTGACTGCTCCCACTGCTGCCAGCAGTCCTGCATGCTCCTGACTGCTCCACGGCCCCCTCCAAACTTGATGGTCGGGTGATCCGTCCGCTTCGCCACCCGCTCCTCACACCTGAGGTGTCACTGGCACATCCGGCACATCAGGTGCCATGGCTGTGGGTCAGTCCATCCTGTGTACACACCCAACATGAGAATTGGACGACCAGGAAGGTCAACCTACCAGGGTGTGTGAAAGGAGCTGCCATGACCGGTAGCACCAAACGATGGGTCTGGAAGTGTTCGTCACCTACCGAAACCAACATGGTTCACACCCTTCAGATCCTGTGTACACAACCAGCGCAACCAGATCCCAAACCTTGCATGGTGCCAACATGGCTTGCATGACACCACCCCAAACCACCAAATGTCGACCATCTTTGCCATGGATGCTTTGGGGATGCTGGAAACCATCAAGTAGGGTTCACCCCCAGGTTGTCATCGGGTTCCAGCCAAACAGGTCCACCAATCGACAGGGCCTCAACGACCATCTGAATTTAAGACCTGGCAGCGATGGGTGCTGGTTCACACCTCGACGGATCTCCACCCATCCCCAACCCCGTTTGACCCCAAAAGCAGACGCCTTCGGTCGCCCAGTCCGCTCCTCGACTACGTGACCAGCGACTCTTGCGCGGTGGCCGCAAAGTGGATGCACACGGCGCTTTTGGGATTGAAGGCCAAACTGAGGAAGGCCACACGGTCTGCCTTGCACACCTAGGCCATCGAGATCCGCCGGAATGGCATTTTGTGAGGACAGGGAACTCCTGTGGTGCGGAGTCAAAATGTGTGGTGAAACCACACCACAGGAGCTATTCAGGAATGAGTGGGCCATGTTTAGCACGGTGGATCTTCGACCAGCACGGTGTGATTGAAACTGACAGCTGTGACAAGATTTGATGCTCCCAGGGTGGAAATAGGTTTAAAATAACGTGAGCAGTGGTGCTCTCATCGGGAAGTCGGTCAGCTTGTCATGGTTTGTCGGACGTGGCCCAGGCAAAAGCGAGGAACCATTTCTCTATGACGACAATGAAATATAACTATATGTATAAATAGTAAAACATGTTACAGTAATAGCAAGAATAGTAATAATACAACAATATGTATATAATAAATAAATAAATATATATATATAATATTCATATCGTTAATATAGTAATGATGTACTGACTAATGATGATATCAATGATATAATATATATATATATACACTTCATAACTAAAGTATACCTACAATCCAGTGTGCTTCCTTTTGGGGTGCCCTGTGGATTTCTGCTTGATGCTCTTAGGTGCTTCCAGGAGCAGAACGGCCACCACTGCCACTTCCCTTGTGATAAAGCCCCAAAAAGGTTGTCTTCTTCCCGTCATTCATTGGCCAAACTGATCATGCTGACTAATACTGACTGATTGACAACCCATTCCATAGGAATCCGGGAATATATATTTCCACCATATATAAAGACGTTTGACCATCCTGGTAGGAAACAGGAAACAACTTTGTAAATTTGAGAGAACTTGAGACAGGAGGCATTGGTCCGGTCGAGGATGAGGCGCTTCCGGCTGTCCTGCGGCTTCGGCTTCGGCTTAGCTCATGCACGCATCGGAGCTTCCCTGTCCACCGGCGGCGTGCCAAAGCGTGCCAAAGCGTGCGCACAGCAATCGCCTCTTTGGGGAAGAGGAAATAAACGAGATCCCAGACACGACTAATGGGACTGCCATAGGACTGCCGCCCCATTGACCCCCAGTCAACCACCCTGGCCGTTTCTTGGCAGTCCTATGGCAGTCCCATTAGTCGTGTCTGGGGATGAATCTCCCAAATCCATGAGTTTGAGATGATTTGAGTCTCAGTCTGTCCATGATTGTTGTTTCGCTGACCTCTGGTAGCATCGCGCCATCATTTTTGAGTGAAGTCTCTGTCCATAAATCCCTAGACTTGT